GTGGTTACTTTTGTTTTACTAACACATGACTGTAATTAGGGGGTATATTACTAGCAACGTTAATGATAGATCAATAGATCATGCCATGGAGCTTTTATGTTGTCAATTGATGCCTATTTATTATTTATCATTGATCATGCGTGCATTTAACAGGAATATGGGCCATACTAAGAAACAATGAAATGCTAACTTGGCCAGAGAAGGTGAAGTTTGCTCTTGGACTTTTGCCAGCAATGGTTGGTGGCCAAGCTTATGTTGAAGCTCAAGATGGTTTTACTGTTTCTGAGTGGATGAAAAAGCAGGTATAAGTTCACAATATCAGTTTGTCAAGTCTCTGTGTACAAGACACATTTCTACCTCATTAATTTGGAATGGATATAGGAGAAGGTGTTGTAAGCTAGAAAACCTTTTATTTTCTAATAAAAAAACTGATGCCCTTTATTGTTGCATTCACATTGGGAAGAACTGGCAGTTCTGAGGATGAAATGCTTCATGTACTCAAGTTTATGCCCTTTATTTTGCCCAGATCCTTTTGCACAGGTTTAAGCTTGAGCTATGCTTTTAGTTTAAGACCACTGTTTCAGTTAAAGGTCAACAACCTTGCATGATTTCTTCCTCCACCTAGAAAAGCCATTGCACATATTGACAAAGCACACAATCCTGTTGACTATATTCTTTATGAGCTAATATACAGAACTGTTTTATACAGAAAACACAATACATATGCTATAGTTATCAATCTCTTTCCCTTTTTTTGGGATAACGGATTAATATGGTGCCTGATACAGTTGTTTGATCAGCACAGGGTGTTCCTGATCGAGTGAACGATGAGGTTTTCATTGCAATGTCAAAGGCACTTAATTTCATAAATCCTGATGAGTTATCCATGCAGTGCATTCTGATTGCTTTAAACCGATTTCTTCAGGTATTTATTATGTTGCTCTATGGTCATGTGTGTTGCATATGAGTAATTCTTCTGTTCTTTCCGGAGTAGTACCTTACGTATTACATCCTTCTTAGTGTTTCTTGTCTCTGTTGTTTCCTACCTTGAGGAAACTCAAATGAATTTTCGCTTAGAGGCCTTTTAAAAAAAATTATGCAAATGTGTAGGAGAAGCATGGTTCTAAGATGGCATTCTTGGATGGTAATCCTCCTGAAAGGTTATGCATGCCTATTGTTGACCATGTTCGCTCTTTGGGTGGTGAGGTTCGGCTGAATTCTCGTATTCAGAAAATAGAACTTAATCCTGATGGAACAGTGAAACACTTTGCACTTACTGATGGAACTCAAATAACTGGAGATGCTTATGTTTTTGCAACACCAGGTGATTTTCTACAATCTTTGTTTCTTCTGCAGTTCATAAATTATATATATGCGGCTACTCATTTTAACTGACTAGCCTGTATTTAGTTGATATCTTGAAGCTTCTTGTACCTCAAGAGTGGAAAGAAATATCTTATTTCAAGAAGCTGGAGAAGTTGGTGGGAGTTCCTGTTATAAATGTTCATATATGGTTGGTTGGTTGAATTATTTGGTTCCAAGTCGGAAATTACTCATCATCGAGTTTGTGGTTCTCCTTATGACTCATATTAGTATTTCTGTTGGTTTGAACATTTCAGGTTTGATAGAAAACTGAAGAACACATATGACCACCTTCTTTTCAGCAGGTGTCTCTTCTAATTCCTCATCAGTTTTGCTGTCCTTTCACTGCCTCATGCATTTGCTCTGTGCTATGACTGGTTTATGAACTAAAACGATTTGTATTGCCCAAATTGGGCACATTCTATCCTGATTTTGTATACATTCTTGATTAATACCAAATATCATATGTCCCATGTATTGATCTTGTTCCCTTTTCTTTCAGGAGTTCACTTTTAAGTGTTTATGCGGACATGTCAGTAACTTGCAAGGTACTAACTAGGAGACATTATATGTTACGAAATAGTAACTATCTGTCATGTATTATTGCTCTTGTGTATTTGTTCTTGGGTTTACCATCTTCAAGCATCACATGATATTTATTTTAGTAGCTGTAACAAAAGGCCCAAAAGTGCATGTGTTACAGAAGGAATCCAGTATTAATTATTAAACTTGGAAAGTAGATATATTTTATTTCAGATTCATTTAGGCAACATGTCACTTGGCTCTAGAGTCTAGATTTTATGGACCATAATAGCTCAGGAAATTAAAGACATGGATGCCTACTGAACGGTTTTCTTTCCTTTTGTTTTGAACTCTTTACAGGAATACTATGATCCAAACCGTTCAATGCTGGAGTTGGTCTTTGCTCCTGCAGAGGAATGGGTTGGACGGAGTGACACTGAAATCATCGAAGCAACTATGCAAGAGCTAGCCAAGCTATTTCCTGATGAAATTGCTGCTGATCAGAGTAAAGCAAAGATTCTGAAGTATCATGTTGTGAAGACACCAAGGTGAGGACATTTTGCAAGAGCGCCCCCTATCTGATATATCATAGGTAGGTCTAATAGTTGGATGCACACTTCTCTCACGTTCCTTTCTTTTCTGTCTCACTGTTACAGATCTGTTTACAAGACTATCCCGGACTGTGAACCTTGCCGACCTCTGCAAAGATCACCGATTGAAGGGTTCTATCTAGCTGGTGACTACACAAAGCAGAAATATTTGGCTTCGATGGAGGGTGCAGTTCTATCTGGGAAGCTTTGTGCTCAGTCTGTAGTGGAGGTAAACGCTGCTCTCCATGGTTCTGTTTGTACATAGATGCATCAGACTTGTATTGTTGTCTTGGTGCAGTTCACAATGATTCAGTTTTGTAGGCTAATGAGTTATCACTTGCTGATTTCAGGATTATAAAATGCTATCTCGTAGGAGCCTGAAAAGTCTGCAGTCTGAAGTTCCTGTTGCCTCCTAGTTGTAGTCAGGACTATTCCCAATGGTGTGTGTGTCATCATCCCCTAGTCAGTTTTTTTCTATTTAGTGGGTGCCCAACTCTCCACCAATTTACACATGATGGAACTTGAAAGATGCCTATTTTGGTCTTATCATATTTCTGTAAAGTTGATTTGTGACTGAGAGCTGATGCCGATATGCCATGCTGGAGAAAAAGAACATTATGTAAAACGACCTGCATAGTAATTCTTAGACTTTTGCAAAAGGCAAAAGGGGTAAAGCGACCTTTTTTTTCTATGTGAAGGGATTAAGAGACCTTATCTCCCTTTGCACTCACTGGTTGCTTATGTCACACCTGGGAGATATGCCCACTTTGTTTCAGTTAAAATGAATCAACAATCCACCACCTGTCTTGTTACTGCCTCCCTAAAAAAAAAGAAGATATTTTGTATTTATCCGGATTCTTGATTTTTTGAAGTCAGGTATTTCTAACTCTACAAATCCATAGATCTTCAATCTGTTGATAACATTCAAATGTATCATTTTGCTCCTGTTATAGTTGAAATATAAAGATTTAAACCGTTGTAATTTAGCATTCAAACTTTAAATCCAGTGTGGATCTATGGAGCTATATCAAATAGGGCTCAAGTCAAATTATCCTAAATTTGATTCAGTTTTGTAGAGAAGAGTCTTAACACCTACCACACCCAAGAAGTGAATTCTGAAAATAATAATTTTCATAATTGATCTAGTGGTGTCGATCATAAATATTATTTTTCTTTTTTATAAAGTTGCTTGAACTTATAATAGTTTGGATTAGAACAGACACACAATCCTTATATTTTGATACTCAGGGAATAACGCATAGTTGTACTGTTAAGTAAACAATAGTATAAACATATTCACTGAACCAAAGGTTTAGTCAGAAAGGGTCAGAGAAGAAAACATGGGCAGTCTAAAAACAGTTTGCCTGTCCTTGCGTCAACATGGGTCATACTGTACTATTATATTCAGTTCACCAAGTTGCAATTAGAAAAACAGGGGCACCTGCTGGATTATCCCTCAGATATTTCTCTCCTCCCTGAGATATTTCTTAGCTGATTCAATAATTGTACTTTTGAGACTAGCATAACAAACTATGGGTCACAACTTCCAAGCCATATCTCCTGGATATATCTTGCAGATATTATGTACAGATGCCTGTGATAAAAGTGTATAAATCCCTTGCCCCTGAAGACTCTCTTTGGATAACGAATGACTGAAGTAAGCATCAGAAGAAAAAGAAAAATCTCGGACAGTAGTAGTAGTAGATTTGTTCACTGCAGAATCACCTGAAAAACACTTTTGCTTATCCTAACTGAATATAAAAGGCGTCGCCGTGGAGATAACTACGAGCGGACAAGCCCATGCCTGCTTGCTCGTGGTTTCGCAGGTAGATGGTCTTCTTCCTGTCTGGTAGATAAAAGATTACTTTAAGAAACAAAATACAAAAATATACTATCCCTATCTTTTTGAGCATCTTAAAAAGATTAGTCCATATCGATACAGTTAAAATAATAATTAATCGTAAATACGAGCACTCATATCAAATCTAGAAATTAAAAGTTAGTGGACTGGTTCCATTAAAAAAAAGTTAACCAGTTAACTCATGTTCATTTCACAAAAGGAGATAAAAGATTTTAAGATGTGGATAATAGTAGTTAGTTAGTGAAAATTTTAAAAAGTAGTTCTTTTTATTTTTGTGGCTTCTAATTCTTTTCTAGATTTTATAGCTATCGACTCTCAAAATCTAGATTTAAAAAAAGCTATTTCAAGAATTATAAATTTTATGAGAAATTGAAGCTCAAAAATCTACTCCTGTTTGTTTTCCTAGCCTCTCTTACGCACAGGGAGGTGGGGCCCAGCTTCAGAGATCTTTTTGGCAACGCCACGCCCACGCCAGAGCGGCCACGAAATATCTGAGAGGCGGCCCGGCACGTGTGCGCGCGCGAGATATTTTCTTTCCCCCCCGCGCCACGTTTCGCCTCGCCACGTGGAAAAGCGCTGGCACACGTAGGCGGTAAAAGCGGTAAAGCCACCGCGCCTTCTTCTTTTTCTTTTCTTTTTTTTTTTTTGCTCGCTCTCTCGCACCGCATTTATTTGCTCCTTAAACAGGAGGGGATTCTTCTTCGTCTCCCTTTGCTTCTTCCGTTGCAATTCCATTCTCCTCTCTCTCCTGCTTCTCTCTCTCCTCCTCTTCTTCACCTCCTCTTGTCTGTCCATAGATCGAGCCGCTCAGACCAAATCTTGGATGCGTTCTCTCTTCTTTCTCGCTGCGAGGGAGGCGGGTTGTTCGATCTGCGGGTGAAATCGAGCGAGAGGTGTGATTTTTGTTTCTCTTGTTTGTTTCTTGAAGTTGAAATCTTGTCCGTGTTTGTTTGTTTTTTTTTGTTTTCCCTCTTCGTAATCATCCGGTCGCGAGGAGATTTACTTTGGTTTGTTCGCCGATTTGCTTCCAGATCCCTAGACCTCCCCCTACTTCTCTGTAGCTGTACATATTTCAAGAGAGGAAATTTTGGGCTGGTTTCTGATACGGTTCGAGAAGATTTTTGGCAATTTCTTCGGATTTTCCTCCCCTTGTGGGTTCCTTGGTTCATTGAGAAGAATCAAATGGGTGATGTGTCAGTCAATCGACCGATCAAGGCGGAGCCAGCTGCAGGCGGCATTGCTCAGGTATTAGAACAGAAAGTTTTTTCTTTTTACCATCGTGTTTGTTCTTAATTTCAGGTAGCAATTGTTGGGCTCATGATTCTGTCATACAGAATGCATGCTTCCTTGAATTATTGCCATTAGCTTCTTTTTCTTAGTAAAAAGTGTTTAGTCTTGTACAGTTAATTGTTTATCTGAATTTGTCATGCAATCGTTCAAGAAATGTCTGTCATGTCGAAATAGTAATATAATCCGCCCATGGTGCAGTGAAGACACATAATTACTCTGCTCGTGGAGTATAACTTTAAGCCATGCAATCAACACTACTCTGATATTTTTGACATGAATTTCACTAGTTCAGGCCCTCTTTTATCTGACGTTGTTACAAATACCTGAACTCTGAAGAATAAAATGGTTGTCTCTTTTTCTTTGACAGGGCAATCGAATCCTGGACATGATGTCGTCAGGGTGGACAGATGAGCGGCACATGCATTATATAAGCTCAATGGAGGCTTCTTTCGTTGAGCAACTCTACAATCACGAACAAAATGATGCTGGCAACGGATTCAAGGTTCTCCGTGGTGGGGTGTGGGAGAAACTCAAATTTGATCGGACCAGTGCTTGCTCACGGATCGGGAGAAAATACTGCCTGCCCGCAAGCCCCTGGATCCAGCATTTCAGGCCGCGCGAATGCAGTAGCAATGCAAGGAATGATGCGGCGGAGGCTTTAGTGGGTGATCATGAATCTGGTATTCAGACTATCCAAGGGAGGACTCCGTTGTCACATGGAAGGGAGTGGGAGGCTTGCAAGGAAGAAAAAGCTGTTGGTGAAAGTACAGGTGGTTAACTCAATTACCTCATTAGTTCACATTGAAGAATGCTTAAAAGTCTGAATTCCTTGTTTCATCATCTTTTTCTGACTATCAGCGGTCACATTATAACTATATAAGGTGTTCTGAATAGCCATGCACTTCATAGGTTATGATTTAATGCGGTTTATCTAAAATAGCTTTCAATGGCTTTTCCTGGGATCAAATGGTGGTGCGTCATATTTCATACAAATGTTTTATCAACACTACTGATTTTTATGCGGCATGCCAAATCCATTGTTCTTAAGCCCGGGAGCTTGTATAGTTTTTATTTTTTGGGTGATGTCTCTTGTCATAAGAACAGAAAGAACAGAAAAAAGTTAAAGTTCTACTAAGGTTGCTCCAAAACAGCGTAATGTGATGAACCTAGTCTCTAACGCCTTTCTTCCATTTTCCTTTTATACAGAGGTCTCTGATCAGAATTTTGCTGATGATGAGGCGGAGGTTGATGCAGAATCAAGCAAAGCATGCAAGAGAAGGAAGTTAAGAAGTGCTCTTACACGGAATTACCAAGTAATTTCTCAGGATTTTAATTAGCTTATTCTGTTGCAAATATTGAGATGAAGACAGCACACTAAAAAAAAAATCAGAGTATCAGTAGCACTGACATGGTTTGTTCTATATATGCAGGTTGTTCCATCTGACAAACTGTTTGCTTCCACAAAAGCTGATGGAAGGAAAGATGCTCCAGAGTAAGGCATGCAAGAGTGGATCTGGTTGAATATGCAGTCAATGAGAACTGGATGAGTTAGTATTGGCGATTTAGTAGTATAGTTCTGAACTCTGTAGAGTCTGTCTTGGTAGAAGAATAATAGGATCGATCACTCACAACATGGTAGATTTATTGTTTGATCATATTGTTGTAATGGTTTTTTTTGTGTGTGTTGCTGTGTTCTGGCAACTGTTTGTTTGCAATGTGAGTAATATGTTTATGTTTGCCACAAGATGAGAATGATGCAAAGCCCATCATTCCTTTTGCCATAATTCCATTGTACATACATGTACTCCCATCATGATATTGAGAATGAAAGATCACCAATTTTGCAGAATGATATCCAACATCTGTAAAATGACCATATATAATTGTGTTCATGGTGTGTAAAGTGCAAATTTTGAGAAGTACTGAATTACTGATGATACATGTTCTTACTTCCCTGTGCAAACCAACATTCAGCGCTGTGTACAGGTATGATGGTACGCATATTTGCCACTCCTGGCCACCGTCCTCGCAAGAGTTTACCAAAGACCCCGACTGAGGGGAAACCAAAGAGGCAAAGAGGAGGAAAACCGGAGAAAGAAAACGAGAGTTGAGTGGAGGTTCGCTATGAAGAGGGGGGGCCATCGCCGGTGGCGGCGAGCTCGTGGTGCTATTCGTCACTTGTAGAAGAGGAGGGGAAGGAACTGCTGCCCGGGAAGGAAGTTAGAGGAGAGGAAGACGAAGAAGAATGGATGCTGATATGTGGGTCTCGTATGAAACGAGTTACTTCCTCCGTTTCACAATGTAGGTCATTCTAGCATTTTTCACATTCATATTTATGTGAATGAATCTAGATAGATATATATATCTAGACTCATTGACATCAATATGAATATGGAAAATGCTAGAATGACTTACATTGTGAAACGGAGAGAGTACGTTAGGAAACCACATTTAAAATCGCTAAGGGAGTTAAATTACAATGGTTTTAACAGTTGAGATGTCAAAATATTACCTGGTATTATGTGGTATTGTTGTTGAGGAATATGAATTAGATTGAGCCTATACATAAAGGGAGTCAAATCGGACTTATTCCTTTGTAGAAAGCCCTTGATTGGGCTGATCCCCTGGGTCGGCCCAGCATGGCGCCTTGAACTAGCACCTTCTTTGTCTTTACGGGCATAAGCTTCTAGCAGCTACAGTTTCTCACATAATCTCCAACTCTCTTAAGGGTGTGTTCGCTGCTGATGGATAGGAACATATCACCTAAGCACGAAAAATGAAGCAGTCCATTAGCGCGTGATTAATTAGATACTCCCTCCGTATAGGAAAAAAACGTCGTTCTAGCCATAACCTCGTTTGCGATTTTAACGACATTCTGAACCGCAGCAGGCTATGTGGACGGAATTACCCTTGTCTGTTCGATAGCCGCTCCCGCAATTAATCCGCAGCACGCCCGCGCTTGCCTCGTTTAATTCCTTAAGCGTCGCATGCAGGCATGCAGCACGCCGCTCAACCTCGCCGCTCACGCTCGCCGCCGCCGCTTGCGTCGCGCTCGCCGGCCCTGCTCTTGTCGCTCTCGCCGCTGCCGCCGCCGCTTGCGTCGCGCTCGCCGGCCGCGCTCTCGTCACGCTCGCCGCCGCTGCTCTCGTCGCACTCGCCACCGCCGCCGCTTGCATTGTGCTCGCCGGCCCCGCTCTCGTCGCTTGCGTCGCGCTCACCGGCCGTGCTCTCTCACGCTCGACGCCGCCGCCGCCGCTCGCATTGTGCTCAAGATGCTTGACGAGAAGCGCGAACGTGAGCTCACTCCCAGGAAGGATGATGCCAAAGAAATGGTAAGATAACACAACTTAATAATCGCATTACAAGGATGTCTCTATTAATTGAGTGCGGAACCTAACTAGCTTCATTCTAAATGTTCAATGCAGCAAGAGTAGCCTTGGCTTCATCTAGGAAAGATGGTTGACAAACTGATCTGCAACAACTCTTGTATCTTTCTTGCCTAGTTTCCCATTCTTGCTTCTAGCCAACAAAGCTTGATAAACTTGTTTTCTCACTTCTTCGGTCATGTCTTTCCTTCCTTCGATGGTTTACTTCAACGAGAGCCATGACATGTTCTAGCAAAAGGAAGAAAATCAAGTTCATTGATAGTACAAATAGCCATGGCATGTTCTAGCAAAATCTAATTGTATCAAAAAGAAGTTGGCTTACCAGCAAGGTGTTGTACATAATCGAAATCGACTGCACCAAATTCATTTAGTGGCAAGTTCAAATCAAAACCAGTTAAAAAAAATGGAAAACAATGATATGAGAAACGATATAGAGAAGAAGAGATAGCACAGTTGCCGTACAAACATGCACAAGAGAAGAAAAATCCTGTCAAACAGAGAAGAAAAGTACCATTGCCGTGCTCCAACGGAGGCTCGTTCAGATCAAAGGCAAACTCGCCATCGCCATCTTCGGCCATGTGTACTGCAATAGTGAGAGGAAGCTAGCTAGAAGCCTAGAACTAGAAGATGAGATGGCTCAGTACTCCAAACGTGAAAGCAAGTTAGCGTATAAATATGGGCAAGCAGTAACCTAAGCGTCGGCATTCTCAGCACGCCCACGCGAAAAAATTACCACGGGATAGGCGCGCGAATAGCGGTAACGAGCGCCATGCAAAAAAATTTCAGCATCACGCGCGGCAGTGAACCCAAACTAAAAAAGCGAAACAAAAAACGCGCCTAAACGCCACCTGCACGAGCGCCATGCAGCCAACCAAGTATCCAAGCCTGCCCAAAACAGTGCCATGCAAAACCTAGAAACCAACTTGTCCCTGCCAAGATTCTTACGCGCAACCATATTTAATAGGGGTAGACAGGGAAAAATACCCATAATTAATCACTTCTTGGTATGCTAAATGCTGTTCTAAACGTCATTTTTACTAGTATAGAGAGAGTATTAGCTATTTTTTTTTTCAAAAATAGATCAATATAATTTTTTTAAGCAAATTTCGTATAAAAACTTTTTAAAAAAGCGCACCGTTTAACAGTTTGAAAAGCGTGCGCGCGGAATACGATGGAGAGGGTGAGGAATCATTGGGTCCGAACACACCCTATACAGTCCAAATTATCACCCAAATTTTGAATACAGAAAATAAACTAAGAAACCATAAACCAGATTTTCAAAAGTTAGCTACCAAGCAGTAGATTATCGTAATTTTAAGCACTCCAAACAAGGCTAGTACAGCGTTCCGTCTGCCGCCTTCGTCTCCCCATCGGCGGAGAAGTAGGAGCCCCGACCGAGATGGTCGCGTCGACGGGGAATCTCTTGCCGGCGGCGGCGGCAGACATGGAGGCTATGCGTTCGGAGAAAATCCTATCCGCCGGGGGCGCAGGATTTTCGTTGGTTGCGGTCTGATGGGCGAAGCGGAACGCGCGGACGACGGCATCTTGTTCGTTCTTGCTGCGCTGGATACGTAAAAATCTACGATGACGAATAAGCTCGCCTCCGCGCGGTGGCCGGAGACACGGGACGTCGCAACGGCAAGCACAGCGTACTCACACCGGTGGCTGATTGACAGCAAGATCTGCAAAGCTATCAAGCTCTAGCCAGTAGCCACTACTCCGTCAGTCAGATCGCCGGTCACACTGCTCGCGGTTTCCCGTGCGATCAGATCACGCCAACTCAATCATGATTAAGGGGAGCAAAAAAAAAAAAAAAACGTGATCAGATCAGATCGGCAGGTGCGCCGTCGACGGCGACGAGACGAGAACGAGACAGGACGCGCCTCAGCTCGCTCCGCTCCACCCAACATTCTGACAGGTCGATCTCTACTCTGAACGAGCAGTTGAAGCTGGCGGCTAGCCGGCCACTCGCCGGACGCCGATTTGTTAACTTAATTGCGTCGATCCGCCGCCGGCCCAGGCGAAAAGATGCCGAAAGCAACCCGGCAATCGCACCAAGATTCTCGTCGCCGTCGACCAGAACCGCGTGTATCACCGATTTCGACATGCACTCGAATCTCCTGAAGATGATTAAAATTGAGTGTTTCATACAAAATAAGGTGGTAATAACATGTGATTAATTGAGTTTTAATTATTATAAACTTAAAAAATAAATTAATCTGATGTTTTAGAGAAACTTTCACATAGAAAGTTTCCGCACGAAACACACCGTTTAACAGTTTGAAAGCGTGCCACGAATATCTAAAATTTCATTCAACTCTTGTTGGAGAAATGAACGCAGCATAATGCACTGTAAAGAGGTACGTGGTTTGAACTCCAAAGTCACCTGTTCAATCCCCAACACACAATTTCTTTGGTTTTGCGTTTACTCTGTATTTCTCTTTTACATTGCATACTGTAATGACGAGACAGGAAGAGGATTCCATTTAGCAATCACATAGCAGTAGGTAAATCGTCTAAATTGCGTAGTAGTACAGGATTTGGTTTGACTTGAGCTAAACTGTACCAGCATTCTCGATCTTGTTTGAGCTACCACTTTGGCTCTCGTCGTCTCTTATCAGCTACGGCCAAAGTTTAAACTTTTAAAAAGGAGTAAATTACATTCATGATGCATAAACTACCTAAGTTGAGTGCAATTTGGTAAATGAGTATCCTAGTACAACAACTTACAGGTATTTAGTGTAAGAATTTTATAAGTGATTGTACGAGTGCAATAACTTACAATGTAGGTGTGATTTTGATACAATAAATAAAAAAGTGGTGCAACAATTTAATTATACCGAGTATTTTTTTAAATAAGGATTCTAGTCAATTAAACTTTACTATGTAGAAGATATTATATTTCTGTTGAGATTTGAGAAGGTAAGAAAAAAAATTCAAACCGGTGGTGCAAATTAGATCTCCAATGTAATTCTTAAATATTATATTCAAGATTATAATATAATATCAATAGGATTGCTACGTGATGGTATATTAGATTATTAACATCGTGAAAAAAAATTCACCTAGCACTCATTAACTAAAACATCACATACTTAGCCAAGTTGTTACACCAAAATACTAAAATTTTTAAGTTCTCGTATTAGAACGCACCAACTTACCAAGTCGTTACACTCGAACGTCAATTCTCAAGTTCTTCTATATCACATCCACTTGTCAAGTTGTCATACCATAGATGCAATTTACATTTTAAAAAGTTAACTTTAAGGCTTGGTTTTTAAACCACTAATAAAAGTTAAAAGAGTTAAAAGGTAAATTGTCCATCGAAGTCTATTTTACAGCCTTGATTTTTAAACCGTTGATAATACACATAAAGTTTTACCAATAATTATTTTTTTAATGCTTCGATTATTTTTCTACGGCTTATCAATTATAGCTCAATCGATCATCAGAGCCTTTTCGTATAAATTTTTCCAGACAAATAAATATACTGAATGTATCGTCTTCTTCAAGAGAAATGAATATATGAGGCAAAAAAAATCCACAACCATATTTCCACTACGAAATAAAGCCTTTAGAGCCCTCCAAGCATCCAGGTCAAATCATCCATCAACCTATCACCCTTTTTTTTTTTGTGCTCTCCTGGAGGATGTTGGAAGAACAAAGAACTTTTCATCCCCAAACTTTCTTAACTGAAAGACAAAGAAATCCAACAGGATTTGGTGAGAAAAAAAATTGAGACAACTATTGTTCAAGTGATCATCCATCCATGGGCACAAGAGGAATAAGAATGCAGGGGGTAGGTTAGGTTTGGGCATGGAGTTGCCTTCAAGGCTTTGTAACCAGCAATCCTACTACTCTCATCTGAATCTCATTTCACTCTCACCTTTTTATCAAACTTTTGCTGTTAAATCTTGTGTGCTGTAGTAGAGGGACCTAGACTATGCAACCAACCATGCATGTTTAATCACCTTCATGGTATGTGCCAGCCAAAAAACATTTTGTGACTATAGCCTAATAATTCCAAATACATGCCACCTGCATTCAAAACCATATGATTAAAGAATGGAACATTGCCTTTGCCTTTCTTCAGCTACTACTGCCAATAATTAGTAAAGGTACATGTGTAATCGACCTCTTAGATTTGATCAAGCACTACCCTGAAAATTCATCCAGTAGAGGTTTCTTTTCTTTAAAACTTTTGTAAAGATATTGTCGGCCATTAATTAAGATTGATTGCAAGTAACAGTATATCAAGACCAAAAGAGAGTAGGGAACCAGCAGTAGTAGAAGTAGAACATGCACATAAAGTGCAAATAATAAAGGAGAACACATTTTCACCTAATAGTACCATGTGTAGCATTTCTTTGGTTAAAAGATTAGAATATAATTGGTGTGTAAGCAAATTTTTACATGACTTAGCTGGCACTTAGGAATGCTTTCTTATGCCTCAAATCACCAGTTAAACAGTCATTCTAGGTGAGATGTAACTTCACTAATCCCCTCAAACGGCTCTCTCCAACGTCACATACATAGATTTGTCTGAAATTTATTCCTCTTACATTACAGTGGAGTAAAGTTTCTGAAAGTATCACTGATACCGAAAGGAGAAGGAAAAAGATAAAAAGGAAATGAGAAGAACAACACCAAAGAGAAAAGAAACCAAAGGAGACGTACTGCAGCCTCGAAGCATTGGTTCCAACTAATTAGCTGCTTTTTTTATGATCGCTGCTAAATGTGGATTACTTCCAGCTTTGTGCGTCGTCGTCTTTCCACGTGTGAAAACCACGCAGTGTTTAAGCCTGAGCACGACGTGTATGTACGACCAGAACCAATTCGATCATCTCTGCCCCTCTGTAACTTGGATGGAAGCATCTGATCAGATGGCAATGAAAACAAAAGGGAACACATGGCTTATAATGCATATCAGGAAGCACTTTTAAATCCAGAAAGCTTTTGTGTTCATCACACCTGATCTCCATTCTCAAGTAGTATATTATATATTTCTTCTCATTCATTGCATCATGAAAGATCACTAGAAAACAAGAACAGAAGAAAAAGGAAGATTCTGATCAGGTCATCAGGATGGTTAAAACTTCTTTATCTTTTGCTGCAGTAAGGACCGAAGTGCAGAGAAGAGATTGTTGGCACCATCATCAGCTTAGCATTTCAGAAGATCGAATCAGCAACAGTGTGGCTAGTATGCTTGTAGCTTATCCATCCATCTGACCATCTTCTATTGGGATTCTTGAAGGTGAAGGGAAAGGGATAAACCAAAGCTTACATGTCAGTTTGGTACGAGAGATGAAACGTTGTGTACTGATAATAGCTGGATAGATGGATGCATATCAGCATTAATCGGGATGTGGCACATCAGGGCACCGGTGATATTTTTTCTCCTTAATTATGATAGTTACGGATGGCTGCTCACTAGATTAGACACTTAATTTTGGCCTTAAATCAACTGTACTTATTTAAGGTACTCCAGGAAATGAGTAATACTTAATTTTCATGTATTTGGCATTAAACCAATCATGCTAGCTTTGTTGAGTTGGAATATTCAAATTCCTTGGAAGTTCTTGTCAGAGAGGTATGTTGTTCCTACCAAATATTCCAGTGAAATGATATACTGTTTGCAACGGAAAATGACCATTTTTGGGCCAATTTCGATCCTATTTTTCCTCCATTAATTACAAAATATTTCATTCCACGAAGCTGATCGAGGAAGCCTTAGGATCACTTCTCCTAGGTGTGGCGTCATTGTACTTGTACATGTTCTTGGCGCCCAAAAAACATTTTCTCTGGTTTTTTGTCGGTCATCTAATCCAGCGACGTCGGATCAGAATCGGACGGCCAAGATTGCGTCGGATTCAGAGTGAAGCTGTTCTTGTTCCTGTCCCTGAACAGTTTGAATGGTCTCTTGATTGACCCAAGGCAACCGAACCGTACCTTGCTGTACAAGGGCTTGTTAATAAAAACGACACCACATCAGCAATCATATATTCCAAATCCGACAGGTTATTGTCACGAATACTAGTAGAAGCACTAGCACTGAAGAAAGAGAAAAAAAACTGTACCGATCGAATCATTAAAATCACGCATAATTAAATCGTTGGATGAGAAAAATTGATTAATCAAATCGCAATTAGGCTCGACATAGCTGCTTCAGGGGGGATTGATGCACCAACCTCAACAAACGGATCAGATATATAAATCAATATATGGATCGCCTGTATGTGGTTGTGGCTGCCTTGAACTGGCACGAACCTAATTTAATTAGTATGCAGATTACACATATCTGGGTTAATTCACTGTGCTTGTTTAATTAATGGCAGTGTCTACTTATGTTTCAAGCTTACTGCAGAAATTATAAAAGAGAGGAGTATCCACCAGAAGGTAGGAAAGGTGGTATGTCGTGCTTGAAGCTACTATATATGAATTTTGATTAGGGCACAGCCAGAGCTAATTAACTTGATCAACTAAGCAACCGGAGCTAATTAACTGCAGTAGCAACAGATCAACAAAAGCAACCAGAGCCAATTAACTGCAGTAGCAACAGACCAACTAGATTCACTATATACTGAACTGTTTTTGAACAGCTGTAATAAGACTGATCTAGTACTATATTATGTACCTACAGTGCTTTTTCTTTGTTTATATATACCCCTCCGTCCAAAAAAACGTGTTTAGGTTTGTAGCTTGGAATTCGTTTTTTTAACGGAGTAGCACACATGGATTGACTGTAGGAATGAGATCCTCTGCTGACACTGACATGCTGGCCCAAAGAGAGTAGGGCCCACATGTCAGTAGCAGTGACTGCAGAGAAGTAGAGAACATGTGTGTTCTAGATCAGTATGTGCAGAGGCAGCAGAGTGATAGACAACCAGAGCTAGTACTAATACTAACAATAAAGTTAAAATATGTGCTCTAGCTAGGCCTAATTTTTTCTAGAGAAGGGTATTTTTTACCCATCCTCTATATTTAACCGGATATATACGGCCATTGAAATAGGAAACTTAGCCCCGCAAACAATCCAATCTAAAATTCGCTCCATAGGAGATTTGAACTCAGAACCTTGGGGTACTACTCAAGTCACTATAACCACTAGGCTACATACCCTTTCATAGCTAGGCTTAATTACCACATAAACAAAGTTGATTGCTGGCTCCTGTCAACTAACAGTGCAATATGCTAGCAGGAACCTAGCTGGTACGGAGTAATAATGTTTTCACTCTTGTTATTCTGCATAGCGATTCGTGCCTTTTTGACCATGGGAATTAAGGTTCGATCTGCTTTTATTTAGACCAGGTATCAACGTCCGCACGTTCAAGGATCATCGGTTAGAAATTTCTAAAATTTTGGCTTTACCAAATGCTCCTCTTGTATATAAAAAAGAGCCCCACAATCCATGTGAGTTTCAAAAAAATGTTTGTATAGAGCGAGATAATTTGTTTAAGCCAATTTTTTAATTCATGATATGCTCTTGTATTCCGAGGTCGTGAGCCATGATCCTAGGTAGAGATCGAGATAGAGGGGATGGGATCACCGCGATGCAAAATTAACTCAAATATTGTTGTTAAGGATCTATTTTGTAAATTCCAACTTCTAAATTTAGTTTTAGGTGTTATATATAGAGTGGAGCTGTGGAGTATTTTTTTTAAACGAAAGTCAGTGCGAGTTTTATATGTTAATATAGCTGGAGAAAAATATAAATCTATGGTTCTGAAGGGAAAAAAATAAAACAAAACTCAGCACCACCTATCTAGTTCATTTAATGAAAATGCTACACCCAATTTCGCTCCTATTTCAGACGATGAAGAAACTGTTTAGTTGCATTTCAGCTCGATCAGCTAAACAGATCCTAATTACTCCTGCACACAACGCGCACGTCATGATTGGCACTAGTACACGCAATTTGTAGAGCTTGATCATCATCAGGGAGGGGGACTGAAGTGGCAAGTGTCCTCGAGATTCGAGAAGGCATGGATTGAATGGAACTCTCGCCACGTGGCATCTCAGTTCGTTGCACCCCCATCCTTTCTCACCGTACCCAACCACTTGCCCCCAATCTTGCCTCTCACGTACTGACACTGTTGCGCACACGCACGCACGCACGCACAGCGCACACCGCGTCCTTCGCGCGCGCCTCGCCGCGCCATGCCGCGCGCGTCGATCTATATAACCCCGCGCCATGCAACGCCGCCCCGGCTTAGGCAAAACAGCGCGCACCTCAGCTCGCGACGCGCGCCAACCTCGCCGCCGAAGCACGACACGAGGACAAGCTAGCCCGGCGCGGTGTGCCATTGGCATGGGGGTGACGGGCGGCGCCGGGGAGGCCGTCAAGCCGTCGTCGTCGTCGTCGTTGTCGCCGGTGGCGGGGCTGAGGGCGGCGGCCATCGTGAAGCTGAACGCGGCGTTCCTCGCCTTCTTCTTCCTCGCGTACATGGCGCTCCTCCTCCACCCCAAGTACTCCTACCTCCTCGACCGCGGCGCCGCCTCCTCCCTCGTCCGCTGCACCGCCTTCCGCGACGCCTGCACCCCGGCGACGACGACCACCGCCCAGCTCTCTCGGAAGGTAAGGTGAGTCCACCATTCGTGCGTGCGACCGACGTCCGTCAAAAAGCTAAGCTTCGATTTCCGACCCACCATGTGTTCGAGAGATTGCTTACGAGGAATTGGCTACACCTGTGTTTTGCAGCTGGGAGGCGTGGCGGCGAACAAGGCGGTGGCGGCGGCGGCGGAGAGGATCGTGAACGCCGGGAGGGCGCCGGCGATGTTCGACGAGCTCCGTGGGCGGCTGCGGATGGGCCTGGTGAACATCGGCCGCGACGAGCTGCTGGCGCTCGGCGTGGAGGGCGACGCCGTCGGCGTCGACTTCGAGCGCGTCTCCGACATGTTCCGGTGGTCGGACCTCTTCCCGGAGTGGATCGACGAGGAGGAGGACGACGAGGGCCCGTCCTGCCCGGAGCTCCCCATGCCGGACTTCTCCCGGTACGGCGACGTCGACGTGGTGGTGGCGTCGCTGCCGTGCAACCGTTCGGACGCCGCGTGGAACCGCGACGTGTTCAGGCTGCAGGTGCACCTCGTGACGGCGCACATGGCGGCGCGCAAGGGGCTGCGGCACGACGCCGGCGGCGGCGGCGGCGGCGGGCGGGTGCGCGTGGTGGTGCGCAGCGAGTGCGAGCCCATGATGGACTTGTTCCGGTGCGACGAGGCGGTGGGGAGGGACGGCGAGTGGTGGATGTACATGGTCGACGTCGAGCGGCTGGAGGAGAAGCTCCGGCTTCCTGTCGGCTCATGCAACCTCGCCCTACCTCTGTGGGGACCCGGAGGTAAGCTAAGCACAATACTCCATCTCTTTCATATTATTAGTCGTTTGATTTTTTTTAAGTTTATTTTTAATACAAAATAAACATATTATCAAAATATATTTAATGTTGAATTTAGTGAGACTGGTTTAGTGTCGGTGTTTCTATCTTTTCTATAAATTTAATTAAAACTAAAGAAGTTTCACTAAGAAAAAAAGTCAAACAACTTATAATATGAAACAAAGGGATAATAACTATTTAGATGATATTGTTCTTTGAGGGATCAAAATGTTTTCTTGTTTTTTTTTTTTTGCTCGCACCCTGGTTAATTGGTTTTCTTCTCCGTGAGATGCACGCGCTCACGCCATGCATGCATGTTAGTCAAGCATGAAAACAAAGTAGGGGAAATATGACAGGTGATAAAGGGGAAAAAAGAGAAAAATTGGTGGCACATATGTGGTTCAGCTTCTAGAAACTAAAAGAGAGAATATATCATGATCACACTGAGACAGGATACACATGTGAGAAATTTTAAAGAAATGCAGAATAGCTAAAGAAGTTTCAGAGATCAATAGCTTAGGTTTATTTTCAGTCTGTTCCGTTAGTATCTGTGGAGAACTGGCCACTGAATGATTAATTATTACTCCAACCATCAATTAATGGTTTACAGTAACCTTTAGCCAATAGGATATGCGAATTATAAAAAAGGTAGTAAACACCTAGTTTAAAGGGGACATTTTTTTCCATTACAAGTTTTTATGCAAAACAAAAATCTATTGTGGATTTTACTACTTTTTGTGTTTGAAAAAAAAATACTTCAATATGCCAAGGCCATGCATGCACATAAGAACAAAAAAAAAACGGATGCAGGAAAATAGAACATTAGCATCAGACTAAGGAAAATAGAACATTAGCATCAGACTAAGACATGATTCAATTCAGAGAAGTGTTCCCAACTGCTGGTTAGACGCATAACATGTCACCTAATGAAAACCGATCAGCATCAATACAGCACACCCACACAATTAATCAAGCAAGCACAGCATAATTAACCAATCAGCTTTTGTCCCATAATCACTTGTAGGGATGTATGCGCTTGGAATGTGAATATATGCATGATCAGTGTGTGAGGACGATTTAACGAGGGTGTGTGTGGGACAAAGCCACCCAAAGAGCGTAGGAATCTGGTCGGGAAATGTTGCCAAAGGCCACGAGCTGATAATGGACAAGGTTCTCATCATCAATTCATCATCATCACTCGACTTTCTCTTTAGCAAAACATACACTAGGATCGAGTAGTCCCCATTATTCCTACCAAACCTGAAGAATCTGATCCCTTGCTAGCTATAGCTTGATCGATCGATCGATCGAGGTGACGATTCGTTGATTCAGGTTGAAACTGAAGCCTCCAATCAATCAACTTGAATTGTGTTTAGTCCTGTTCGATCGTCGACGCTCTATTATATTCATAGGAGTACTGACGATCGATCCGGTTGGTGCAACAGTAAATCTGTTCCTTTTTCGTAACTGCATTTGCAACCGTTGGTCTTCAGATTATACGGTTCATCAGGTGTTGATTAATTGCTCTAGGTTGATTAGAGTGTGTACCAGCAGAAACTAGCTAGCTAGCCTATCGTTGATCAGCACAGTGGCATCCCACCTGAGTGGAAGCTTCTACTGGTAATCATGGATCTATCACTGTCAGTGTTATCCACAAGCTAGCTAGCGAGAGCTAATTAAGCTAAAACCTGTCCTTGCAAGAGCAGATAGATCTAGCCATCTAGGGCCTAGGTCTACTGCCTAAACCAATCGATCAACACACATTATTCACAGTTGATAAAAAAAATATACTAGCACTAAATATTAATTACTTAAGGGATTGATCTGATGATAAGTACTCCTAGCACACTACTCAATTGCTCATAGGATGCCACACGCACAGTACGGTTTGTACATGTTAATAGATCAGGATGCACATGGAGATCGATGGATGAGCATTGACAGATTAATCAAGAAAAGATTAATTAATTAGAAGAGGATGACGACCACTCATAGATTAATTAGAAGAAGATGATAAATGGGCAGAGACTGGGGCCTCTTTCACCTAACTTGTGATAGGCATGCAGCTAAGCTGGTTGGAAGCCTTTCACCTCCAACCGTCCGATCAGTCGAACACTATGATGGCAACAAATGCATACTACATCGATCGGTCGACAGGGCTGATTAAACTAGATTCGGTTGGTGGCCAGCCGGCCGGACAGCTGCGTGTAGCTAAATGGATACTACTCTAGATGGATAGATAGAGATAGCTTGTGCATGAACCAATTAATACTTGCATTGCATGCTACTACATTCGTCTCCATGGCGGATGACCAGATATCTATACCAACCGTACGCAATATCGTCGCAAATTAAGTTTATTGCTTGATCTTACCTTGTGCAATTCGATTTGATTCTTTGGTGGTTTTGACTTGTCTGACACTTCTAGTTTGTTTTAAGCTAAGATTATACAGTATATTCATACTATTCAGTTGGAATAGTTCTTTTTTTTTAGCTTAGTTGGAATAGTTCAAGAAGTGCATGAATGATGCATGTGCCACGCACTACGGATCGAGTACATATACTATATAGTTAAGAAATAGATTTATTGATCTGCTAAAAGATTAGGAAAAATTCTTCGTCGTACGCACTAGTTTTTGAGTTCAGATCACCTTGGACTTTTTTCTTTTTTTTTAGAACTGATCACCTTGGACTTGGAGTAAATTTGTTTTCATGGATAGGTAAATTGTCAGATCAGGCACAGTGCAGTTTCGCAAGAATCTAGCACGTGTTCTTCTCTGGCGTAAGCTGCAGTCAACTAATCAAGCAATTAATTAATGAATTAACGCAGGTATCCAGGAAGTGTTCAACGTGTCGGAGCTGACGGCGGCGGCGGCAACGGCGGGGCGGCCGCGGCGGGAGGCGTACGCGACGGTGCTCCACTCGTCGGACACGTACCTGTGCGGCGCGATCGTGCTGGCGCAGAGCATCCGGCGCGCCGGGTCGACGCGCGACCTCGTCCTCCTCCACGACCACACCGTGTCGAAGCCGGCGCTGGCGGCGCTGGTCGCCGCCGGCTGGACCCCGCGCAAGATCAAGCGCATCCGCAACCCGCGCGCGGAGCGCGGCACCTACAACGAGTACAACTACAGCAAGTTCCGGCTGTGGCAGCTCACCGACTACGACCGCGTGGTGTTCGTCGACGCCGACATCCTCGTCCTCCGCGACCTCGACGCCCTCTTCGGCTTCCCGCAGCTGACGGCGGTGGGCAACGACGGCTCGCTCTTCAACTCCGGGGTGATGGTGATCGAGCCGTCGCAGTGCACGTTCCAGTCGCTGATCCGGCAGCGGCGGACCATCCGGTCCTACAACGGCGGCGATCAGGGGTTCCTGAACGAGGTGTTCGTCTGGTGGCACCGGCTGCCGCGGCGGGTGAACTACCTCAAGAACTTCTGGGCGAACACTACGGCGGAGCGGGCGCTCAAGGAGCGGCTGTTCCGGGCGGATCCCGCGGAGGTGTGGTCGATCCACTACCTGGGGCTGAAGCCGTGGACGTGCTACCGCGACTACGACTGCAACTGGAACATCGGCGACCAGCGGGTGTACGCCAGCGACGCCGCGCACGCGCGGTGGTGGCAGGTGTACGACGACATGGGGGAGGCCATGCGCTCGCCGTGCCGCCTGTCGGAGCGGAGGAAGATCGAGATCGCCTGGGACCGACACCTCGCCGAGGAGGCCGGCTTCTCCGACCACCACTGGAAGATCAACATCACCGACCCCCGCAAGTGGGAGTAGATTGCCTCGCCGGCGATCGCCGCCGTCCCGTCCCCGTACGACGTGGCAGCTTGCTAGCTTAGCTGGGCTGGGCTGGGATGGGCTGGCTGGCCGCATTTAGAATTTTGGGCCTCCGTTAATTCTCTCTTCTTTAACCTCTGTTCATATATACACGCACAGGGACTATAGATTTACTAAGCCCTCGGTGAATAATTCAATCACAAGTAAATAATTGAGTAAAATGAAGTCACCTTTTTATTGTCAAAGTTTTACTTTGGATCACACTTAAACCAATCTTTTCATTTTAGACCGGATAACTTTGCCTATAGTATTTGGCTTGGATCACCCCACTCTCTTTACTATTCATGTATAGATATGAGCAGCATATAAAAGGGGAAGTTCACCATTATACCGAAACCGATTTGATTGAGGTTATTTATGGGTGTTTGAAGAAGTTAAGGATGATCCAAACTTAAAAAAAATTGATAAAATTTTCTGATCATCCAAACTAAAAAATATACAAAACTATCTGATTCTAAAGTGAAAAGATTGATTTGAGGGTGGTCCAAAGTAAAACTTAGGCCCAAATCACAATCCACTCGCAATAATTTGATCCAGTGATCACTTGGGCCTCATTTCTCTCATGGGCCGTGAAAGAGGTTTCAAGGCCCATGACGCACACCTAAGATTGACCAGTTCAACTAACGTTTGCTAAATTTAAGCGGAAGCCGTTGAAAAGCCAAGGAAGCAAAAACCACCCGTTTGTGGCGCGCGGTGATCCATAAACAGTAGTGGCCTCCCTTCGTGAGCCCCCTTTCCTCGCGTCGTCCCCTTCGCGGAGCCTCCCCTTCGTGGGCGCGCTCCATTGCTCTCTCCCCTCCCACCCAATCCTATTATGACATTACGATGCCTATCCCCATTGCCTTCCTCTTCCTCCTCCCCCTCCTCCTCGCCGCCTCCTCCCATGCCACCGCCTCCTCCCATGCCACCGCCTCCGTCGTCCCACAACCTCGAGGTAATTCATGGTACTCCCTCCATTTTATATTATAATAAATTTTATCTTTTTTATTAAATAATCAATTTTGTTAAACTTATAAAAGAATATAAAAATATTTTCTACAAAACAAACATATATAATCATAGTATATCTAATGTTGTTGTTGTTGTATATGTTGCTAATTGTTTATGTAAACTTGATTATATCTAACTGATCAGAAAAAAAAGTTTAAGCCACTAATTATATCACAAACACGGAGTAATTGATTCTTGCATGCAAGAAATGGGACGTGTAATGGTGGGTGATCGAAATGTTATTATAGGGTTCTATATAAACTGTGGATCGGAGAAGGAGGAGCAGATAGGGAGCATCAAGTGGATACAGGATGAGGGGTTCATCGCCGTCGGCAACATGTCCGCCGTCGACAAGCCGAACATCCTGCCGCTGCTCGCCACCGTGCGCTACTTCCCCGACGCGACGGCGAGGAAGTACTGCTACCAGCTCCCCGTCGTCAAGGGGTCGCGGTACCTCGTCCGGACGACCTACTTCTACGGCGGGTTCGACGGCGGCGACGTTCCGCCGGTGTTCGACCAGATCGTCGACGGGACGCGGTGGAGCGCCGTGAACACCACCGACAACTTCCGGCGGGGCATGTCGACCTACTTCGAGATGGTGGCGGAGGCGCAGGGGAAGACGATGAGCGTGTGCCTGGCGCGCCGCGCCGACACCCGGTCCAGCCCCTTCATCTCCGCGCTCGAGCTCGTCAGCCTCGACGACTCCATGTACAACACCACCGACTTCGACAAGTACGTCATGAGCACGGTGGCGCGCAGCCGGTTCGGCGCCAAGGGCGAGATCGTGAGGTACGCGCGTTCCGCCGCTCGCCGCCGCCACGACGGCGCGTTGTTGTGTCCTGATTAACCTGACATGGCTGGAATTTCTAGCTATCCAGATGACCAGTACAACCGGTACTGGGCGCCGTTCACGGACGCGAACCCGACGGTGGAGAGCCACTCGGCGATCACGCCGGAGGAGTTCTGGAACGTGCCGCCGGCGAAGGCGCTCCGGGCCGGCGTGACGACGAGCCGGGGGAAGAAGCTGTCGGTGCAGTGGCCGCCGGTGGAGCTGCCGGCGGCGACCTACTACGTGGCGCTCTACTTCCAGGACTCCCGCACGGCGAGCCCCTACAGCTGGCGCGTCTTCGACGTCGCCGTCAACGGCAAGGAGTTCTTCCGGGAGCTCAACGCCTCGGCCGCCGGCGTCATGGTGTACTCCACCATGATGCCTCTCTCCGGCAAGATGGAGATCGTGCTCACGCCCAACGAGACGTCGCCGGTCGGCCCGCTGATCAACGCCGGCGAGATCTACCAGATTGTGCCGCTCGGTGGCCGGACGGCCACCAGAGATGGTATGCGCCTCCAGATCAGGGTTTGAAATTTCGTTTCAAAATTTCCGAAATTCGCCCCCCACCGGCAATCTTATATCTCAGTCCGAAAATTTTCGGTTTTTTGCTTTTTTTTTTGTGTGAATTTGGTCAAATTTTATTAAAAATCAGTCAAAATTTCAAATAATTTCGGCCAAAAAAAATCGAACTTTCTGAAATTTCGCCCCCCCCCCCCCTCCAACCCAACCCCCAAAGAAAAAGCAATTTCGAAAATAAAAACCCTGCTCCAGATCGATAGACAGGCTGATCTCCAAATGTCAAGCAGTTTCTTTCTGCAAAATTTGAGCAAAGCAAAATTTTAAAAGTTCATCATTGTGCTAGCTAGATTCAGTATGTGAGATTAATTTTTGGGTGATGAGAAGGTTTAGGATCTTCGCTTGTGCAGTGGTTGCAATGGAGGAACTTGCCAGGAGCATCAAGAACCCGCCGCCGGACTGGGCCGGCGATCCTTGCCTGCCGCGGCAGAATTCGTGGACCGGGGTTATCTGCTCCGAGGGATCACCCGTGCGCGTCGTATCACTGTAAGTGTTCAGATTGACATGGTTTGGCACCTATGAACTCATATGGTGTTGACAGTGAATAAGCTACCGAGATGTTGGTTGTTGCTGTGATGATATGATCCATTTTCTGTATACTACAGGGATCTAAAAAATCATGGTCTTTCAGGATCGCTCCCTGACAGTATTGGAAATTTGACTGGGATGAAAAATATGTAAGATTGACACGATCATATAGAGTGAATCCGAATGATCAAATGGGATAAGCACTTGGGTCTAATTTTCCTGTTGAAATTGTATGCAGCTATTTCGGTGGCAACAAACTCACAGGCTCCATACCTGATTTGAGCAGCATGCACATCTTGGAAGAATTGTAAGCTCAATGGATAGGCAGTAGGAGATTGATTACTACTCATCCTAGCTAGGAGACTCATTTCCATCATACTAACTTTTCTGAATTTGGAAAGGCATTTTGAGGGCAATCAGTTAAGTGGACCAATCAGCCCATCGCTGGGAACACTCACCAATCTCAAGGAGCTGTAAGTATCCTAACCCTCTTTTTGTTGCATGTCCAAACAGCTGATAACTCTTAGTACTTGCCTCATGCATTTGCTCCTGCGAAAGACAGATACCTGAACAACAACAATCTCACCGGCCAGATACCAGAGAGCCTGAAAAACAAACCTGAACTTGACATGAGGTATGATTGGGGAACAAAGTCTTCACATTTTGGATCCATTTTATATGCTGATGGTATTGCTTTTGCATAAAAAAAAAATATATATATATATATATACAGGACTGAGGGGAACAAACTTAATTGAGGCTGGAAAGGAAGGAATATCTGAGATGATCATTTCCAATCTAATGTTACATTTATGTACAGAAAGATACAGTTTGATGATGAAGGGAGAAGAGCGAAGGCTTCAGAAACTGTAGGATGATATTCATGTATGATGCTGTATGTGAGTTGAAAGATTGATGTGATATTTAGCATCATCCTTTTGATCCATTTTGTGTTATTAGTATTTGTTGTACATGCTGCATTAGATGGCATTAGTGTAGGATAATTGTTAGGTCAAAGAAGCAGTTCATAATCTAACCAATCTAAACGCCAAAAGTTGTACCATGTTCCATCAAAACTTAATTAGGACAGAAACATGCAGTAGCCAGACACATAAACAGCAGATACTCCAAATCTGTCAGCTAATAAACTCCCGAGTGTCGAATTGGCAGTAATTGTGGACACACCAATTACAAACAACATAAGAGTGGCAAATTGTTCCTTCTCCCAACATAGATATGGGCTACATGATAGATGCTCTGCAAACTAGCAGAGTAACAGATTAAGTGCCTAATGGTAATACTAACAGATGAGGCCTAAACCTACCCAAAATGCAATTTTTCGTCTGCCGATGTGTTAGTAGTGCCGTCTTTGTTGATGTCACTTGGTTACCTCATTTCCATCATCAACAGTAGCTCGGATAATATGCACCTGGACAAAAATCAATTTTCAAGGATTATTCACATTATTCATATATAAAACATGCTTAAGTTACAGGTACAAATTTATTCAGACATATTGTTCAGTTCAGTAAAAATTAATACCTTGAAGGTTGTAGGCTTGACCAACTGAAATACTGTCGCATCTCCATCCAACAATCCATGGTCCAAAGCAAAGCCAGCCCAGCCACCACTTAGGCCATTCTTGTAGGCAAGGTAATTGGTATCAAATTGCTCGTCTTTCTCATCCAACAAAGTGACAATGGCATCATGTTTTGGCAGGTAAGTCTCGCAGAAATGCCTCGGTAAGCCCTTTTGATCATGCCACCAAACAAGTATTAGTACCACATGACAACAGTTCCCCTTAAAGAAGGGTTGCAGGGATGGGAATGTGATAGTGCAGTACTCACCAACCAAAATCCTCGGACCACATGTGAATGTAGCATTGGCTTCACGAAGGAGGGAAATTCAGGGTCAAGTTGTGATTCCAGTTCCTCTGCTTTTCTTGCTGCCTCGAGCCTAGCTTCCATGGAAATTGATCCACGGGTTGCCAGGTAGATACTGTCAATTGCTTTTCGTGGAGACCTGCAGAAGAAATCGGACAACGGGATGTAGTTTTGCACCTTTTGCTACTTAGTGGGAGGCAATACAGGCTTCATACGCTCATGTGGTAATGTTATTGTTATCACATAATGACATACCTTTTCATCCTCTCTGCGCCATCTGGTGCTACCTGCCGACAAATGCTACTTCTTAGTACAGAAAAGATGTTTCTTATGATGGTTACATACTTACATATGTGGATGCTAGGAACAATGGCACAATTTAAAATGCCATTTACTGAAAATTGTTAAGTTCTGCTAAGAATGGTTTGTTTCAGAGACTTATTTAATGCTCAGTAGTTCCTACCAAATTTGCACATTTTTTTATCAATTCAGTTGGTCAGAAAACGTGAAATACAGCTTCTTCACTGTGCAATAGGCCGTTTTTACAGCTTGCACTAGCTGGATTGACAGCCACGGCTAGAACGTATGAAAATCACGCTCAATAATTTGTAACCTTAAACTTAGAACCAGATGCATCAGAACAAGAAGCAGGTGTATCTGAACTTCTTTTTTTTTTCTATGACTGAATATTACTGAATCTTTTTTTCTCCTTGACATTTATTACTGTGTAAATGGAACACCAAAGCAAAGCAGTTACCTCTGCATACTTGACCTCAGGGAGATTAGCGAGGCGCCGAGACCTCCTCGGAGGCGAGGGAGCCACGACCGCCGCCTCGATGATCCTACGCCTCTTCTGCTTCTGCTCCGCCGAAAAAAGAAATAAAACCAAAAAAAGAAAGATCAAATTAATGAACGGATCGAGCAGCGAGCGAGCAAGAGCAACCGATTAGAATGTAGAGCGCGGTGGCAGCATGAGTTGGTCACCATGGGGGAGGGGGTCTTGGGGGCGACGGCGATGGCGGCGGAGAGGTGGCGCAGGTTGAGCGCCTCCATCTTGCGCTTGTTCTCCTCCACCGTCCTCTCCCTCGCCGCCTCGTACGCCGTCATCCCCTTCTCCATCCCCATCCCCATCTCCCCCCCTTCCTCCTCCTCCTCCTCCTCCTCCTCTCCCTACTCGATTTGCTGCGGCTTTGCGAGGCTGGAGAAGAAGGGTTTAAGCGAGGGAGAGAGAGAGAAGAGGCAGAGAGGAATGGGGTTTTGGGTCCTTTTCAACGTCGTGGTCCTCGTGGGTCAAGTAAAGCAGAGGGCAGGCAGAGGGAATCGACCGTTGGAACGGGGAGGGGTAAAACGGTGAATTCAGGTCAGTGGGACGTGTGTCCCTGACAGGTGGGGCCCGCACATTCATCCGAGATGTTTCGTGCTTCGTGCGATGCGGAGTACGTGTGCGCCCGTATTTTCGGGAGAAAGGAAAGGGCACGAAAAGAATAGCTGGGCCGGAAAAGTAGTTAGATTTTTTTTTATCCGAGTTCTGGGCCGGCCCAGAAACTTGGTCCACGGGGCTAAATGTGATACGATTTTGCTATATATTTGTCGACAAATTTTCTCCTAAAAATTTGACAGATGTAATTACAGTACAATCGTAGTGTAATTACACTGTAACTTGCATGTAATCACACTGTAACTATAGTGTAACTTATATGTAACTTTCAAAAATCTCTTTGTAATATGTTATTTCGGTAAAATGGAGGTTGTGGGAACAAATCCTTACACATATGTTTGTGCTGTGATTTTTTTTTCTTCCTTACCAAAACAAATCTTGTAATAGATTTAACGATTCAAAATTACGTGAAACTTATATACAAGTTACACTGTAGTTACATGCAAGTTACAATGTAATTACATATAAGTTACAGTGTAATTACACTACGATTGTACTATAATTACATCTGTCAAATTTTTAGGAGAAAATTTGTCGACAAATGTATAGGTGGTCCCATGTGATATATTTGGTCCGATATAAAGTGTGGTCGCGTACGGTAACAGTGAGAAGGGAATTTTTCTACTACGTACTACATCCGTCCCAAAATAAGTACAGCCGTAGATATCCGTGCCCAACATTTAACCGTCCGTCTTATTTAAAAAATTTGTGAAAAATTTAAAAATATTTAATCACACATAAAATACTATTCATGTTTTATCATCTAGTAACAATAAAATACTAATCATAAAATTTTTTTAAATAAGACGAACGGTTAAACGTTGAACGTGAATAATGTAAAACTACACTTATTTTAGGACGGAGGTAGTAAAAAGATGGGTATGCAACTTGAGTACGTGCTTGACATAACTGTGATGCAGTCCAAGAACTTGATCGCGAAGGACCGAGATCCTCTGAGAAGACCGTGACTTTGATCCATTATCAGTCGTCCGATCTACAGTATCTGGTGAATAGTAAATCAAAGCAGTAGTTTTTACTTTTTTACTGTGTCTACAGTAAAAAAACTGCAGAGCAATGTTTTGCACTGTAACACCAGATTCATTTTACTATGTTTATCTTCCGTTCGCTTCCAAAGTCAGAGGAGCCGGATCCGATTGGCGAATGCTGCCAACGATCCTGACGTTGTTGACCTGACCTGGCACGACAATGCAAATCCAGTACAGCTGCTGTTTCAGATGATTGACGACAAGCCGATTGCCTTTCCCTTATCTGAAAAAATTTGGTCAGATCAGATGAGTCATGAAATGGATGGATGCATAGAGGTCGGAACTGTTGGATTTGTCTGACGCTGAACGCGATCGATCGATCGATCGAGTGATCTCTCGAAAATGATGCCCCGTACACGTAGGACTTGTTTACTTTGCTACTATTTTCAACATTAACAAGTTTTGGCATTGCCAAATTTTAGTAAGGTTGTCAAAATTTTAGCAAGGCTACCAAATTTTAGCAATATTTTATACGTACTTACTAAAATTTGACAACAAACTAAATGTAGCCACTTTTTTTAACTTTGCCAAAAAAAAAGTAAAGTTGAAAATGGTAGCAAAGTGAACGAGCCCGTAAATTACTCATACGTAATATTGTCAACCTAGGCCTTGTTTAGTTACAAACTTTTAACTTTTCAATCACATCAAAACTTTTCTACACACGTAAACTTTCATTTTTTCCATCACATTGTTTCAATTTCAACCAAACTTCCAATTTTGACGTGAAAACACACCCCTAGAATGGCGATGAGGACGAAGCTGATGTGGAGTTTGATGGCGACGGAGCCATCGCCGTCAAGCACGCAAACTTATCTAGCTGCGACTCCTGATGTTCCTGGCCGTGATCGAGCTCCTGCGTTCTTGCTTAATTTGAGTGGTCGGATCGGCTACTGAGCTGGTGCGGCGGCGGCGGCTAATCGGCGGCATGAGGATCGCGGTGACGGGCGCGACGGGGTACCTCGGCAGCCGCCTGTGCGGTGCGCTGGCCGACGCCGGCCACGCCGTGCGCGCGTTCGCGCTCCGCTCGGCGGGCGGCGGCGGCGGCGGCGGCGACGTCGAGGCCGGCCTGCTCCCGGCGTCCGTCGAGCTGGCGTACGGCGACGTCGCCGACGTGGAGTCCCTCGCCGCCGCCTTCGACAGGTGCGACGCCGTCTTCCACGTCGCCGCCGCCGTCGAGGCGTGGCTGCCCGATCCCTCCATCTTCATCACGGTACGTGTACAATCTTTTAAAAAGAAAAGAGGATTTTAAAAAGAAACTCGCGAAAGTTTTCAAGCAATTCCGAAAAATATATGCTCTATAAAATTGATTTGGTCATTTGGTGTTAAAAAAATGGGCATTTAATCATATCCTCGGACGTGTTATGATTATCAGGTCAATGTGGGAGGGCTCGAGAATGTTTTGAAAGCTGCCAGGAGGACACCAACAGTAAAGAAAATAGTTTATACGTCATCATTCTTTGCCATTGGCCCAACTGATGGATATGTTGCAGATGAGACACAGGTACCATATTTATATTGGAGTTCTCCTTAATTAGCTCCCTCAGTTTTCAAATCCTTCGGTCTAGAAAATCTGCCATTTCTTGTGTGAGATGTCCAGACTGAGCATGCTAAAAAAAATTGTGCAAAATATGATGATATGTATACTTCAAATTCCTTTCGTGAAAGAAAAACATTTTTGCAGAGTAAACAATAAGTTGCTGATATTGCAGATGCATCAAGGAAAAACATTTTGCACGGAGTATGAGAAATCAAAGGTTCTTGCAGACCAGATCGCATTGCAGGCAGCAGCAGAGGGGATGCCAATCACCATCGTCTATCCAGGATTCATGTATGGTCCTGGAAAACTTACAGCAGGAAATCTTGTTTCTCGCATCGTAAGACAATTTCTCTACTCCTAGTTATTCATCCTGCATATATGGTATATCTGAATGACCCAAAAAAAAAGAACTTGTTCCTGAAATAATTAACAGCCATGAATCATGATCAGAAACTTGAACATCACTGGCTCTTAATTTGCAGTTGATCGAGAGGTTCAATGGGCGTTTACCTGGTTACGTCGGGCATGGCCATGATCGAGAATCATTCTGCCATGTCGACGATGTTGTTGCTGGACATGTAGCAGCAATGGAGAAAGGCAGAGAAGGTGAAAGATACCTCCTCACCGGAGAGAACACGTCGCTGGTTCAGATCTTCGACATGGCCTCCAGGATCACGAACACAAAGGCGCCCAGATTCCACGTACCCCTCTGGTTGCTTGAAATTTACGGGTGGATTTCAGTTCTTGTTTCAAGAATCACCGGGAAGCTCCCGTTCATCAGCTACCCTGTATGTCTCTTTCTGTGCTCCTTTTATTTCCAGTACTTACTTAGGTTCAGAGTTTGTTTTTGCAGGGTCTAGTTAGATTCAGAGTTTGCACATTGGTGATGATGATGATGTATTGATGTGGTTACTTAGATTTCAGTTCTTGTTTGGGTTTTGCAGGCAGTGCGTGTTCTTAGGCATCAATGGGCATACTCATGTGAGAAGGCCAAGAAGGAGCTAGGGTACAGTCCTAGGAGCTTGACTGAAGGTCTATCAGAGACGCTCTTATGGCTCAAGGACAGCGAAATGATCAGATTTTAGTGTTCTACATTTCACTCATGTAAACATATCAGCATTGCTGTAACTGCATAAATAGTTAAATCAAAGAAAACATGTGGTTTGAAATTTGAAGATGAATGCGTGCACCAAACAGGGCCAAATTTCTTCTTAGATGGTCAAATTTGTTCCTGCTGATCACTGATCAGACTTGAGACTCGAGAGGCAAAAGCAGATCATATTTGGGCCCGGCCCACAAGTGACTTGGGCCCGCTTGCTTGTGGGTTGACTAGGGGTACTACTGGACAGGCTGGTGGCTGGCCTCGCCGGAAGGCTTGGAAGCCCGCGTTGACTAGTGGCGGTTGGATTGGCGGCGGCGGCGGCGACTCGACGATGGGCGGCGGCATGAGGGTGGTGGTGACGGGCGCGACGGGGTACCTCGGCGGCCGCCTGTGCGCGGCGCTGGCGGCCGCCGGCCACGCCGTGCGCGCGTTCGCCCGCCGCTCCAGCGACGCCTCCGGGCTCCCGGCATCCGTCGAGCTGGCCTACGGGGACGTCACCGACGAGGGGTCCCTCGCCACCGCCTTCGACGGGTGCGACGCGGTCTTCCACGTCGCCGCCGCCGTCGAGCCGTGGCTCCCCGACCCCTCGGTTTTCACCACCGTACGCGTGCTGATTCATTTCTGATGTTTTCCTGTGGCAAGTAGAGGGTAACTATATTCATTCAAATCAAAGTGGGGAGTACTATAGAACGCTAGATGAACCTAGACATTCTGCCTATTGTGCGATGCTGTTTAGGGTCTTTGAAAATTATGGCTCCAAGTCCAACAATAATTGATTTTCCGTTTGCTGTTCTGTTCATGAAACTAAAATGCATGCAAATTCGGTTTGGCTTGGTGTAAGAAATGGCACTTGAGCATGCGCGTTCTGTGCTATGATTACAGGTCAATGTGAGAGGACTCGAGAATGTGTTGAAGGCTGCTAAGAGAACACCGACCGTAAAGAAGATAATTTACACATCTTCATTCTTTGCAATTGGCCCAACTGATGGTTATGTTGCAGATGAGACACAGGTAAAACATGACTTTGAACTGTGTAAGCTTTTTACCATTTCATGTTTGAAAAGCTTGAATAGTAAATAAAAGGATTGTATTATGATTGTCTTTAGTAGTTCTGCCCATAGGTTCTGTTCTAAGCTCATTCCTTGATATGTACTCCCTCCGTCCCAAAATATAAGGGATTTTGAACGGATGGGACATTTCCTATTACTACGAATCTAGGCATACTCTCTTTGTACTTTCGTAGTACTACAAAATGTCTCATTCATCCAAAATACCTTATATTTTGGTATGGAGGGAGTAGTATAGATAGCACTTGGCTGACCCGACATTCATGTTAATAGGAGCACATAAGGTGTCCATTAGTAGTATAGATAGTAGATAGTCGTTTTTCTTGATTTCCATTGAACTTTTAATGATAAATTTCTATAATGGGCAACTCACTCTTGAAACCTAGCTGTTCAATTTACCCCATTCCAAAGTATTTTGATTTACCCCTGACACTCTCTTATTTCTACCACTTGTATAATTCTTTTTGATACCGACTTTTAGTAACAATTATCCAACTTATGCATGTCCTGTTGAAATGGAGTAACCATTTCATCAAATTATCCTCTAATTACAAAAAGGCCTTTTACAAATTAAAGTAATTCTATAAGCTATAAACAGAGTTCAATTGTTCTAAATTTCAGAGACATCAAGAGAAAACATTTTGCTCAGAGTACGAGAAATCCAAGGTTCTTGCAGACCGAATTGCATTGCAGGCAGCAGCAGAAGGGGTGCCAATCACCATTCTCTACCCTGGAGTTATCTACGGGCCTGGAAAACTAACTACTGGAAATATTGTTTCCCGTATTGTGAGAGAATTTCTTACTCATGGCTATGTCAAATATGTAGTTATTTATTATCGTATATTTGTTTCAATTTTAAAATATAACATTTCCTGAAAGATAGCCATGACCAGAAGAAATTAAACTGTTGTGATTCTTGCAGTTAATTGAACGGTTTAATTGGCGCCTACCTGGTTACATAGGAGATGGGTATGATAGGGAATCGTTTTGCCATGTTGACGACGTTGTTAATGGGCACATAGCAGCAATGGAGAAGGGCAGACCGGGGGAAAGATATCTCCTTACTGGAGAAAACTTATCATTCAAACAGATTTTCGATATGGCTGCTAACATTACAAATACGAAGGCACCCCTATTCCATGTACCTCTCTGGTTGATTGAAATATATGGGTGGATTTCAGTTTTTATTTCTCACATCACTGGAAATCTCCCACTTATCAGTTACCCTGTATGTCCAGTATTCTTCCTTATTTAAGTTTACCATCTCCAGATAGGTCATGCTGTTGTGCTTACTAGATTCTCAATGTGGATTGCAGACAGTACGTGTTCTTAGACATCAATGGGCATATTCATGTGATAAAGCCAAGAGGGAGCTGGGCTACAGTCCAAGAAACTTAACTGAAGGTCTATCAGAGATGCTCTTATGGCTCAAGGATGAAAAATTGATCAAGTTTTAGCACTCACCCCTTGTGCTAACTTGTGCTGCATTCCACACCATGTAAACTGAGATCTGATTTAAACCTATTAACTGTAAGATGTACATGTTTGGTGTGGTGTTAATGTTGTATCATATCAGTAATAACTTGAGATGTAACATGGTAGTACTGGTTCCATGGAAGAAAGGAAAAACATGTTCTTCGATTGAATATTGGTTGATTTGATTCTTTACAGGCTGCAGTTGCATAAGTAGTTACAGTAAAAACCACGCAATTTCAAATTTGAGAACACGTTTAAATGGAATTTTATCGCTACCTAATGCTGGGAAGGTATATGCAGAAATCCTTACACTCGCATTGCAATTTCAAAACAATACAGAATGTTTTGAAATTGCGAGATGCCGAACACAGCTCACGATCAAAATGTTGAGCAGAAGAAAATCAGAACATGTAGCACAACAATTCATGACACAAGCAGCTATTTGATAAACTGAAATGGTGAATAATCCATATACAACTACAGATTGGAATACACAACTGAGCTGTTTCCATGGTGATCACTGACCGCTCGATCAATTAAAAAAAAATTCCAAACCCAGCTGGTCAGGTCAATTCCTGAAGCAATTTCTCCAGCGCATCAGAAACAAGAGGAATGTGGAGGCAATCTTGGCCATCAGAGTGCTTTCTGATCTTCACCAGATCATGGTCTTTAAACTCCGTCAGGTGGGAGTTCAGCGTCACTTGACTGCTTACAAGAAAACGCTCACGGCATTTGGTATACAAGCTACTGAAATGCATACCTGGCAAACAATGTAGCAAGGTTTAGTTTGTAAACAACAGGAAGTCATAAGAAAATAAGTCTGCAACAAACTTGCCTTCCTCCTTCTCGTGTGCCAACTGATATTCAGCAAGAACTCTGAAGACACTTTGCGCATTTGGTGTCAGGCTTTGCAGAACAACGAGGGCGGTTTTCATGGTTTGGGCATGACCGCCGCTGGCAAGAATCAAGGGGTAGAACACACCTTCAACTTTGTAAGGTGCAAACGTTGGGACGTGATACCAGCTCCACTTGAACTGTGTGTGCACCATCTTCTTGTCCCATACTACAGTTATTTGACAGGTTAGGAATCTTAAACAGTGAAGGCATTACAGGAGGTTAAAGCTAGCCAGGAACTTACACAAAGGTGCATTAACATGATCTACTGATGCGACAACATGGACTTGCGGGCAGCACGAAACTTGAGCTAGGTACTGCTGTGATTCAGCGTCACGCAAGGCAGGTCCGTCGATGTTGTGAATAAGAAGGCATACATTGTCATCCCCATTGTCAGATGTCTGGTTATTTAGAAAGGAGATAATATCATCTATTGATTGGGATGCAAATGGCTGCAACTGGGACCTTGTTGCTGTCTGGCGTTTTCTCTTAAGTTTTGTTTGTTCCCAAAATATTTCAGCTATTGTCACTATGACCTGAAATGGCAACAAGGCAGAAAATTTGGCAGAATTAAGAGCTTTGATGTAGAAATCAATAGTCCTCCACAATATAACAAGAACTTCCTGATTAATGATAGTAAGGAATTACATGCACATGAATTTACTTGAGGTGCCGAATTTGACAATATTGGAATGGTTGAACAAATAGAAGGTACAGATGTTTCAATATGTTAAGTTACAGGTGTTTGGGATCATGATCCTAATAGGCAAACAAGGATCTCCATATGACTGCAAGCAACACCAAGATAAAGGAATTGCGCGCAGTTTTCATGAATCATCTATTTCAGCTTCACAACTAGTCAACTATTAGAGAGCAATGTTTGAAGCCACTTTGAGCATGAATCAGTGGAAATTAAGATTGCACAATCAACTTTGGATACCAAATTGATGCCTTTGGTCCTTATAGTATTTCATTTGTCCTAAACCTTAACCCCTTAAGGACTGTAGGCTCAATGCTTTTTTTTCCCTTTTCAACAACAATGCGATAAAGTAATCCATACTGCAGGCAACAAAGGTCAATATCGGTCAGGAGGAGGTCATACTTGCTTCAAGTTGATGGAAGGGAGATAGCCATTAACCACAATGACGGTGAAATCGCTCAAGGTCGTGGACGCAAAATCCTCAAGCAACATCTTCTTAGATCCAAATCCATACATCAGGAGCCCAAATCCGCACCTGCAGAAGAACATCACATCGATCTTTTGGCTTCATCCACATCAACATCAACACTGGGAGGATTTTGGGTAGCAGACGAACCTGAGCTCGAACAGCCAGTTGCGGTACTGCTCCTTGTAGCTTCTCGTCAGAGCCTCCACCTCTCTCTCGTGCTTCGGGGGGATCTCAGCGAGGGATGCTCGCAGCACCTGCACCAAATCTCGAATCAGGGCATTCGCCATGGCCTCGGGAACACGAATCGGAGGGTTTCCAGGAGGGGCGGGTTATGCAGACCTGCTCGTCGACGAGGTTGAGGTCGGAGAGCTTGCCGGCGGCGCGGGCGCGCTTCTTGCCAGAGGAGGGCTCCTTCTCCTTGGCCAGGAAGTAGCTCCTGGAGAAGCCGGCCTCCTCGTCGTCATCCTCGGACCCAGAGCTTACCCCAGCAGCCGCCGCCGCGTGGCCGCCTCTCAGTGCCATCGGGGTTCGCTTCCGCCGCCGCCGCCGCCGCGAGGATGGAGGACGAGAAAGGGGAAGGACGCACTCGTGCACAGCCTGCCGGTATATAACTGTAAATGGTTCAATACAAGTAGAAAATAACAAATAAGTAGAAAATAACAAATAGTAAACGATACGGTATATAACTGTAAATGGTTCAATACAAGTAGAAAATAACAAATAAGATTGAATCTTACCTAAATGACAATGTAAATTGTTCAAAAGGTCTTAGATAAATCCACGGGTGGGATTGGTACATCACAAGATGCAACTCCTTTTTGCTTCATGCTTTTGAATAAGTAACGCAATGCTTGACTTCTCCATGCCTCAATCTCCAACCATCATACCATGCAAAAATGTCATATGAGGTTCATTGTTGCACACAATTTTGTGGTAATTTATACAAATCAATATCTCCTTAATTGGCTAATCACAGATATTATTGAAGAAATTGATTTATTACTAAGTACTGGTCTAGTAGAACTCTATAGAAGGGGGAGAGGGACGGCCGGACTGAGGGAGAGCCAGAGAGGTAGTTCACTAGCGCTCACCGGAGTCCGGAGTCCGGAGGGGGAGGGCCGCTGGGGCCGGCGCAGAGGGCGGGAGGCCGGAGTGCCGGACGCGGCGGGGCGGCGTCGGGCGAGACCACGGGAGGCCGCGCGAGGCGGGGCCGCGGGAAGGCGGCGCCAAGGCGGGCAGGCCCAGGCCGGGGGGCAGCCGCGCGGGGTGTCCTCCGGCGTGCGGCGTCGGACCGTCGGTGGCTCGGTGCGTGCGGGAGTGCGCCGTGTGGGCGGTGCGGCGTGGGACTGGGAGAATAGCCAGCTAGGGTTTTTTTTTTTTTTGTTGCCTGTTGGGCCAAGCTTTTTTGATAGGCCAAGAAAACTGAATACCTGCTCTTCTCTGGGTCTCTGGGTCAAATTCTAGGGTAGTCTTAGGCCGAGTACCTCTTGGGGCTCTTGGGGCGCGTAGGGTAGGTGGTTTATGCGGTTTATCGGGGAAAACCGGTTTTCCCGCGCTTTTGCTACCTCTTTTCGTGGCAAATGGCTCGATCATGGTCGGGCCCATCCAGCAGTTTCAGTTGGGCATTGTCAATTTTGTTAGCCTCGAGGATCAATTTTTCGTGAAGCGCCTACAAATCGGGCATCCGATTTGTTTGTCAAAAATCGGGTGTTGTTTCACTAATGAGGAAAAAAATGTTTCACCAAGTAGATTGAAAATGTTTCGATCTTTTAAAATGCTGAAACACAATCAAATTACACCATGAAACATTTTTTTTACAACGTATGAAACAATGATTTCGAATATATTAAAATATGAAACAAATCCGAGTACATCGAGAATAAGAATAAAACACCATCGAATTGAAAATGTTTCAGTGCTGAAAATGGTGAAACAGAATCAAGTCACACAATGAAACATTTTACTACAACGTATGAAGCAACAGTTTCAAATGTATTGAAACATGAGACAAATCCGAGCACATCGAGAAAAAAATGGAACACCATCGAAAACCACATTGCAACATTTTGATCTAACTGATGAAACATCATGGTACATGGACTAAAACATCACAATATTCAAGAGGAAAACCTAAATCTGCCTCTTCCTCCACTTTGGTGGTTAGCAACCACAACCGCATCGACGCCGCACCGAGCTCCACCGCACCCGCATAGCCACTGTCGTTGACGTCGCACGGAGCTCGGCTGCGCAGAGCTCCATCGCCAACAGTGGCGGGGGCGCTGCCGTAGCGGCTGCTTGCTCAGGGAGGTGGCGGCGTTCGACGGTGTCGCCGTCATGGAGGAGAAGCGTCGCCGTCGCGGAGGAGGAGCGATTGGCAGTAGCCACTGGCTCGGGGAGGTGGCAGCGTTTGGTGTCATCGCCATCACAGCGAAGAAACGGGGAGGAGAAGCATAGCTGTCGCAGAGGAGGAGCGATTGGCGGCGGCCGTCGGCTCGGGGAAGGAGGCACGGCGCCGCCGCTATGCAACGTGTGGGAGAGAGATGAGCGAGATAAAGGAGAAAAAATAGGGAGGGGAAAAGTCACGGGTGTGGAAATAGGTGGTTGAGAGCCCCCGATATTTTTTGCTCACGTTGGGCGCCCAAGACTGAGCATATCCAACCTTTTCACCTCTTGGTATTACTCCATCGGCTTGTTAGCCGATCGGCTTTCTGGTGATCTACGTGTTTATCTATCTTGTCAGTTGCAGGATCAAACTGATTGGCACGCCTGTACCTCATCAATATTTTAGACCTGCACTGGAGCTAAAATGATCTCCTAGGCCGTTATGTTCATCGACTTAGTCAGCGCCAACATAGTTCTGGCACCATCGGCCAAGCGCGGATTTTTCATCAACACACTGCCACCCAGATCCCCGCACGCCCCACGTGGCCACGCCCGATGATGTCCCCTCTCGCTATGCTGGGCTAGCCTGGACAAGTGGACAGGTGGTGAGCTCCGCCGAATGCATCAAAATGATCACTGATCATTACTGTCACTTTGCCGCATGCAATGTAGCCTGCAGTACTTAGTTTGTTCCTGTTAATTACCATGCTTAGTTACACGTGCTATCTTTGAATCATAGGTTCGCCCTAGAATATTCTTGCACAAATAATCGAGTCGAATATGATGCTTTGTTATTCGTCTTACAAGTATTAGAAGTTATATGAGCAACACATATAGATATAGATGGCCAAATGGGCCACCTGGCCCGACACGCCACGTCAAACGGTCAGGCCGGGCCGGGCCTGCCCACGGCCTCCACCTACGGCCTAATAAGAGTCAGGCCGTGCTAGCCAGCCTAAAGGCATGACGTGCTCATCCTTGGAATAATTCTATTTTACCTCCCTCATTTTTTGGCCGCGCCTTATATTCCCTCCCTCCTCTTTGGCAGTGCCTTATATATGACTCAATAAGTCTATATTGTGCCCCTCATGTTTCGTGCCAGGCCGGCCCACTATGCCAAGGCAGCGGCCTAGACATGGCCCAACTGTCGGGCTGGGCTGGTGTCACGCCCAGAAATTTAGCCCAAATTTCCAGACTATTTTGTGTATTAAATCCCTGTCTAGGACCAGCCAGGGTACACAAAACGACAAGTAATATACAGTTCCAAACGTAAATAAAGCGTAAAATACTTACAAAAGAGGCACTTAGTCCTCGCACCGAAACGAAAGCAGCAGCAGCGGAAAAAGGCGATCCTAGCGGGGCTTCAGCTCCACTCCACAGGCAAAACTCAACTGGGGTCTGAGCCTTGGTCTTCTAACTTCGTCTTTAGCTTAGAAGCACTACACTTCTGAATAGGGGGAATAATAGCAAGGCTGAGTACAACCACCGTACTCAGCAAGCCACACCAACGATGCAGATGTGCAAGGGGATACAAGGATGGTTTGTGGCTATTTGCATAAAGGCGGTTGTAAAACATTTTATTGAGCAAAACAGTAAAACTGTTGAGTAATTAGAGTAACATTAAATCTCCACTGATCAACGCTACACCACGTTGAACAGGCCCAACCAACCCACCTGAACTACAGCGTATTGGGTCGACTTATTAAGTGTGAGACTAATCACGGTGAATCTGGTCGACCGCCCATAACCGCGGGCACGGCTATTCGAATAGCTTTACTCTGATCAGAGGTGTACAACTGTACCCACAAGACACAGCCCCACGACACATTTCCGTGCGCCGACATGCCACCACGACATACCGGAAAGAGGCCGTGACAGGACCCTTCGCATAACCCCCTCTAACCAAGCACACCACACCTCAGGTTTCACCCCCCGTCCCCAGCGGGCAACGGGCAGTCCCCTCTCGTGCCTAGGTGAATCCGGAAGCGACAGAGGCCGTCGCAGGGCCCGCCCCGCTCTATCACGCCCACCCTTGCCTGGATGCGTCGGCTAGAGGAAAGCTACACTACAAGCCCAGCCGTTGCCCACGCTGGCTTGTGGTAAGTACGATAAGTTCTTCCAGGGCATCCCGCGAATCGGTCCTTAACTGCCATGGGTGCGACCAGCAAAACCATGCACCCACAGCCCACCATTCAGTCGCATTTTAGTTGGATAATTACGACCATGAAGCATGGCCAGATGTCTCGAGCACGCAGCTCACTCTGATACTAAAAAGGTCTAATACTGTAATTATCCCATCAACTGAGCTAGTGGTAATTAAGCATGGCTAAGCATATAGTTCTAGCTAGGTCATCAAAGTAACACAAGCTAGGCGATTTATTACCCATGGTTGATAAAGGACAGATATCAAGTAAACATGGCACAAGCGAGCAGATAGGTAAAACCCTGACCCCATGTAATTAGCAAAACATGCATATTTATTTGTAAACGGTAAAACATTTATAAATTGGGATCAATATGCTCAAGGGGAATGTGTGACTTGCCTTGCTTCTTCAAACAATCTTCCGAACTCTTATCCTTGCGACCGTGATCTTCTGAAACGACGGATTCTACACGCAGGCACGCAAAACGAGGAAAAACTCTAATAAAAACCAAGGAAACAGAACATAAAAAGTAAACAAACATGTAGAGCTCAATTTTAGATGAATTTTGCAATTTGAATGGCCCAATTTGGAGTTCGAATGAATTAGATATGAATTTTAGAAGTTTTGAGCCACTAAATGAATTTCTATAATTATTAATGATTTATTGCGCATTTATTAAATATTTTCACAAAGGAAAAGGACTGCCGCTGACGTCAGCAAGAGAGTGGGCCGGCGCCGACAGGCGGGGCCCGCATGTCAGCGAGACGAGGTGGCGGTCCACCGTGGACCGGGACCACAAGGACGGTCCACCGCCGGTCCACGGGTTGGACGGCCCAGATCGGCCAAGGCCGATCGGACGGCTGGGGACGGCCGGGCGGCGCGCAGACGGCCAGTCAACCGGCGGCGGCGGCGGTGCAACGCGGCGCTGGCACGGGAGGCGGCTGGCGAAGAGGAAAAGGAGGAGGGAGGCGGCCCACCGAGAGGCGCGGCGACGGAGGGAGCGGCCGCGGAGGGAGGCGGCGGCGCTCCACGGGGCGAAGACGACGGTGGCGATTCGGCGGTCTCCAACGAAGGTGGAGGAGCGGCCGGGGTACGGGGGAGCGCGGCTAACGCAGTAGAGGCGGTGGTGTGGCGCGAGGTGGCAAGGAACAGCGGTAAGAGGCGGCCGAAGGCGGCAAACGCGGCGATGTCCTCGGCTTCGCGGTGGAGATGGTGTTGCTGCGGTGGAACGGGAAAACGAAGCAGAGGCCGGGGTGCTACGCGATGCGGCGAAGCCGACGGTGGCGGTGGCGTGGCTTGGTGGTGGCTAGGGCGGCGGTGGCGCGCTACCGGAGTCGGCAAAGTGGCGGTGGAGCTCGGGTTCACGGTGGAATCGGTGCCCGGGTGGTTTATTGCGGAAGCGGAGCGGTGGATGGGATGCGGCAAAGCGCGGCGAGGCCGGCGATGCAAGCGGCGCGGCACGGGGACGGCGGTAGCGGCGGCAGCGCCCGGCTGGAGTCCGCCGACGAGCGGCGGCGCTTGGGCTCACGGGGAGGAGGGGGTTCCGGGCATGGGGGAGCTTGGGAGAGAGGGGAAAACGGAGGAGGGGAGCACGAGGGTGCTTTATATAGGGCTCGGGGATGGAGATCGTGGCCGGGAGAGGCGGGATCGGCCGGTGACGTGGGGAGGTGAAGTGGAGCTCGTGGGGAGGTCAAACCGGCGCCGTTTCTTGCGGGGTGAGTGGGGGAAAAGGTGGAGGACGTGGAGGGGGTCGTGTCCACGTGGTTAGATGCGAGCTCGGGTGCGGGAGGGCGCTGGATTTTGCGGCGACATGGGCGGAAATGGCGGCTGGGGTTGGCTGGCGAGAGGTAGGAGGAGGAGCTGACAGGTGGGACCGTCGGCCGGATGGAGAGAGAGGAGGGAAACCGGGGGACATAAAGTAGACTTTCGCAAGGCGCGGGCCGGCCGAGAGAGAGAGAGGAGGCGCGCGGCCCGCGGGAGAGGAGGGGAAGGCTTGGGCCAAGCCCAAAAGGGAAGGAAGGAGAATTAAATTTGTTTTCTTTTTATTTAATTGTTTAAATGATCTTTGTGACTTTAAAATTATTTCTTGAGCTCCGAAAATTTGCGGAAAAATCCGGAGAGTATTTTAGGGCACAAAGAATATTACAAAATATTCTCAGCCAATGATTTTTAAAGGAAATTTTAATTTCCTCTATAATTTCACTTGATTAAATTGATTTAACTTTTAATATAATTTCTTGAAATGCATTATTAATTGATTTTTAATCCCAAACGAAAATCGGGGCGTTACAGCTGGGCCGGCACGGGCTGACACCAGTCGGGGCTTGGGCCTTTTGGCCATCTATACACATAGAAGATTTTGGTTACTCGAATTGATAGTGAAACAAGTTTTCAGGGTGTATAACCGTTTTGACGGGCCAGAAAATAGATATTATTTAGATATATGTTTAAACATTTTCGTCAATTTTGATGACTTTCTTATTAGGCATATTGTGTTAATTTTGATGATTTTCTTATTAAACATATTGCTAGAGAGAAAAACTTTAGGGCAAATGATTTGGCTCATGTTAAAAAAAAGAGTGTCCCGGTGTTTCAAAAGTTTGGACGAAATTGATGAAGTTTCAGATGCAGGGTGGTTTGACCGGCGCACCGAGGCCTGTTTCACTGGAGAAGCCGACGGTCTGGTATGAGGCCCCAAAGTTATTAGTCTCTCTTTGCATACCACAATTCAAAGTATGCAATAGAATTTTAATGGACACTATAACTACCAAATTTACTCAATATCTATGCAACATAGTGCTGATAACGCATAACATGTGCACGAGTATGTTTGTCTTGTGTATCATGATCCTGATAGGCAAACCAATTTTGTATAAGGAAGTTTTAATTACCCGATATAGATACAACAATAAACTTGTCTTGTAAATACACATTGGGTGCAACAGAGTGAGGATAGTAAAATTCTTATATCTTATGCAGTCAAATGGAGAAAATAAATACTAATAATATAAAATTAATAAATTATGGTATCAAAAGATACCACTTAAATATATTTCAAAATTTAAAAGTTCATTTACGATCATACTATTAAATAATATTAATACTTCTATCTGTGTTCTTCCCAGCACTCCTTTTCCACTCGCATGCTTTCCGAACTACTAAATGATAAACGATGAGTTTTTTGAAAAAAAAATATATAGAAAAGTTGGTATAAAAATCATACTAATTTATTTTTTTTAAGTATTTTAGCTAATACTTAATTAATTATACGTTGATATGTCGTTTCGTTTGTGTGTAAGAGAAGGGGTTCTCAACCCTTCAAAATAACATAACCTAGATTTGAGTTAATAAAATCGATGTATTTTATAAAAGCTCTTTTATTAGTTTGCAAGTGTCATGTTTATTGCAAAGATATAAAACAATATTTTGCTAGTTTATAAAAGTTTATAATAGAGTGGGTCTTACATATTATAAAAGTATTCTTTATAGTAGTCTTTAGGCTCTGCTACCTAACATATGGATCATTTATAAGAAATAAACAATATTATTGTGGATGTGTATGTAGATACAGGACTTATTTAGTTTATTGCTACTATTAAGATTACCATATTTTAGCATTGTCAAATTTTAGCAAACACATTTATCATATTCTACCAAAACTTGGTAATTGTTGTCGATTGACAAACAAATCTGCTGAAGGGCAAGTTATCACTTAACTATGTGGGATGTATATTGATTTATTAAAAACAAAATTGGATGCCCTGATACAAACCACTTGGGTTCTATTTATAGTTTTAAAGCCCCATGTTTGCAACTCTATGGTTTTTGTTTACTCGGGAATTGACCTAATCGCCCTTATGACAAGGACATTTACATGGGCTAAAAAATGTTTTGGCCCAACTAGTGGGTCACGGGCTCTAAAGGTTCAGTCCTAGGTTGTTTATTGGACCTTCATGGGTGGTAGGTCTGTTTAGAGCCCAACTGGCTAAGTGATCTCGGCGTGCATTTGACCGGTCGGTGATGTGTTCTGCTTCTGCCATCCATCATCCATCCATGATCCACGATCTGTCTGACACGATTTCTACGTCCCTCTATTTCAGCCTGACCGGTAGCCATGTACACTTTAACACTATACCGCAATGTAACATGAGCATGACTGCCATGACATAACAAATGTGCCAGTAAATCAACGAGGGGTGAAGTTTGCACTTCCTTTGATGCATCATGTATATTAGTGTGTTTATCATATCACCAGGTTAGCCATCAGCATTTTCGACCTTTCTAGGTGGTTCCTAACTACATATATGCATGATGCATAAACACAACATATACTATGTTAGTTTATAAAAGTTTAAGTGCTATCCATAGCAATAGGAGTGGGTATTAAGTACCTTATAGCCTACTTATATATTATAAACGTAGTCTTTAGGCTATGCTACCCAACATATGGACTACTCACAATCATAAGAAATAAACAATATTATTGTGGATGTGTATGTAGATATAGGGCTTGTTTAGTTTGTTGCTACTATCAACATTACCAGATTTTGCATTATCAAATTTTAGCAACAACACATTTATCATATTGTACCAAAACTTGTAAGTGTTATCGATTGACAAACACATCTGCTAAAGGGCAAGTTGTTACTTAATTATGTGGAAATGTAAAGTGGAATGTATATTGATTTCTTAAAAAAAATAGATGCCCTGTTACATACTACTTAGGTTCTATTTATAGTTGTAAAACCCTATGTTTGCAACTCTAGGTTTCTCCTTACTCGGGAATTGACTTAATCGCCCTTATGACAAGGATATTTACAAGGGCTACAATAATCTTTTGGCCCAACTAGTGGGTCCATGGGCTCTTAAGGTCCAGTCCTAGATTGATTATTGGGCCTTCCTGCGTGGTAGGTCTGTTTAGAGCCCAATTGGCTTTGTCATGCTGCTTCACCTCCTGTTAGTGAAGGGTCTTCGCTTCGCCGCTTGGTAGGTGGTTCGCCACTTGGTACTCGCCTTCGCCGCTTGCAAGTGCTTCGCCTCGTAACTAAGTGGTTGTTTCGGCACGTTCGGTTGAAAGTCCTCATGGTATGCCTCCAACAACAATGTTGTCAATTTGTCAAAATTTTGGTATTGACTAATTTGGAAATATTGATTTTGGTAGTAATGTGACCACCCCCAAAGTGAACAAACTCGTATTCACCAGTGTATTGCTGGAGAAATAAAAAAAAGGAAAATTGTACACTTACATCGTTTTTGTTGATGTCGAAAATGCTCTTGCACTTAGAAGCCCAGTCAACAATTAAGAGCAATTCATGCGCATCAGCGATGAACACAACTAGGTCCGCACCCGATGGGGCATCCGGTTTATGGCCATGAGTAATGAGGTGTTCGGGAAGGATGAATCGACGAAGGAGATAGCTTCGTCTTTGCGGATGATCAGTGGCTCAATCGATTGGAAAACAACACTGCTATACACACGAAGAAACTATTACGAAGTGCGTATGAAAAGATCCCTACGTACGACACTTCGGGGACACAGAACGCTAAAAGCCCATGAAAAGTCACAGCCCCATAGCCCACTCTATCAATAAGCAGTCTGGATTCTTCTAGTACAGGGAAAAACAGATCCCCTATCTCAGATTGACAGATTTAGTACCCCTCTTACTCCTTCAGTGCTTGGCTTGAGCGGAGATGCAGAGAGCAAGGAGAGAATCAACTCAATCAAACATATGAGCTACAAGAATATCGATTGCACTAGCAGCCGACGCGGAGGACGCTCACCTACGGCCACAGCCCACAATACGAGCAGTGAGCTATAGGTAGCTGGTTGGCTTCATGCACAGGTACGGATCTACAAAACTAACCACTTATGCTGCAAATTAAGGATAACAATTCGTTGTGTAGGAGTCAATAGTGCACTGCTATTAGCATGCAGTAATTTCCTGGTATGATTTGAACACGATTTACTCATCTGGAGTTTGGACAGATGTTGCCTGTGGTAGTATGGTAGATCTTCTCCAGTATATATAGATTTGCAGAAAATAAAAATATACCTCTTATTCTTTTGGTTTGCATCATATATGCTACTTCAGGCTGAATTCTTTTAACTAAATTAGAATCCATACGTAGTACCAAACTTCAAAGCTTCCATGCTTCTATGCACATAAATTCTTCTATGCTTCTTCAGATTTCGTAGAATAGAACAGTAGAAGAGGACATCAAAGGCTTCTTTTCTACCTGTAATATTTCCAGCTATAAGAACGAAATCTAACATACACAATAAACATCTTTTCTTGTGAAATTGGTTTACTATGAAATTAATGAAACCAACACGACGAGTTAATTGAATTGCCGACAATGAAAGGGTTCTTAATGTGCATTTTTAGTCCTAAAATGCAATTTCAGTTTATGAAGGTTGAAGCATCAAGGAATGTGCAATGCATTTGATCTACGGCATAAGAAATACTCAATCTAGATGGCAAAACATAGACAGGGACATACCTGGTCAGGATGCTCATCAAGGGATACTTGGAGATTGAGTTTTTTTTTTTTTTTTTGTTGAACCTTACAGATCGAATTCTGTTACCCAAAGATTGTGAAAAGATAAGGAGAGGAGGTTAGCTTTGGAGGGAATCACTGGAAAATGGCGGGACCACGTCACGACGTTCTGCACATGGGCCTTTATTAGTTATGGGCTTAAGTACTAATGAGAAGATTACAACATGTAGGCTAAAGAAGCAGCCCATGGTGGCTGTTCGAACATGTTCCGTAACAAAATTATTCGTACGCATAGAGTTTTCCATTGGAAAACACCTAGAGGTCTTCCAGCTTGCTCCACAAAGTGATGGGCTAGCCGGTCTGGGTTCGAAGCTCACTTGTTCTATTTATTTGATATTAGGTCATTCACTAATATTAGTTTTTTTCATGGCGGCGACGGCGGCCCAACCGTTGGCAGAGACAACCGCGCTGAGATCTGTGCAGGCGGTGACCGCACGCGCTGCGTCGTTTTTTTAGAGAGAGGAGCGGAGTTGGGAATGGGGAAGAGGACTTTGGTGCTTTCGCTCTGGGCTCCGCAACGATGGTCGTTTCTTCAGCCTACGGCCCAGATAAGTTGGCCGGAGTAACGGCTAGGAGAAGTGTCGAGAAGTTGAATTTTGGCAAGAAATTCAGAACCTTCTGAACATTGAAAATAAACTGCATTCCAAAGACGAGCACAACATATATCAACACCGAAACACATGCAACGATGACTTCCCAGCCAAACATTGTATTTTCACAGCTAAGTAATCTCGGCGTGCATTTGACCGGTCGGTGATGTGTTCTGCTTCTGCCATCCATCATCCATCCATGATCCACGATCTTTCTGACACGATTTCTACGTCCCTCGATTTCAGCCTGATCAGTAGCCATGTACACTTTAACACTATACCGCAATGTAACATGAGCATGACTGCCATGACATAACAAATGTGCCAGTAAATCAACGAGGGGTAAAGTTTGCACTTTCTTTGATGCATCATGTATATTAGTGTGTTTATCATATCACCAGGTTAGCCATCAGCATTTTCGACCTTTCTAGGTGGTGTCTAACTGCATATATGCATGATGCATACACACAGCATAAAACGGAGCCATTGCATGATACTGGTATCGATCAATATGCTAAATTGCCAATATGCCAAATTGCCAATATAGAGTTACATTAAATGGACCGCAAAAGCTGTGCAGTATAATTGCTCAATTAATCCTTTTTTCCAGGATCATTGATCAATTTAATTTTATGTATGGCTATGTAACATGAAATTAAGAAGCACGACTTTAGGCGCGCTTCGCGGCGCCCTGCCATTCATTAAAGAGTTATGTAGCTTACAGATGATTATAGGATAGCATTGAATAGTACTCAAAGAAAAGCAAATAATATGACTATGCAAGAGCTGCTGAGAGCATCTAAAGCAAAGCATACTTCTGACCAGTTTGAGTAATATTAAGTACAAAGATAGTCATGCATGGAAGTCAATCGATAGATTTTATAATCACTTTATAGTACATGTCGGTAAGAAGTGTCAACATTATCACTTAAACTATATATAGAAAAAAAGAGTAAACAAAAAATGAACTCCCGGCTTTGGTTTCTTCCTCTTACCCATTAATTTAGAAATGGAAAAACTAATATCAAACAAAATAGAAAGATGAGATAATAATTTGTGCAGCAAGTTCTATTGTCAGTTTGTTTGTTCTATATTTGGAACCGGCCCATTGGGAGGAAGCCTACTCGGTGCAGCAGCGGTGGGAGAACATGGCAAACACGCCCGACATTCTGAAGAAGGGACTTATATCCCTCACCGTGTTAGTTGTCTGGGAGATCTGGAAAGAGAGGAATCGGAGGATCTTTGACCATAAAGAGATGGCAACGAGCTCCCTGCTAACGAAAATCAAAGAGGAGGTTAGCCTTTGGGCTCTGGCAGGGGCCAAACGTTTACGTGAGTTCATCCCGCACCCTGTATAGTGTATATTTTACGTGTAACACCTTTTCTCTCTTTACCCTTAGGGGTTGTATTTTCTCCTGCTTTATTCAATGAAAAGGCACTATCTTGTGTTGTTTTCCGTTCAAAAAAAAGTTTGTTTATTCTTGTCTTTGGTAACTAAGCGGTGATACCGCTGTATTTAAAGAACATGCTTAAGAGAAACTTAAGATTAGTGGCAATTCTCACATTTCCAAATATTGTGTATAAAATAATACATCTTGAACTGCAATGCAGCTGCTTAGCACATTATAACATGAGAAAGCAGAGCCACAAGGTTGAGAAACGCTCCTGGAATTTTGACAAACTTTAGCACCTTCTATGGTAGTAGCCAATCCATTTTACATGAACAGAACAAAAGGAGTCATCAGATTTGATATTCCCATTTATAATCAGATTGCACTTATTTCTCTCTCAAAAAAAAAGGATTCCACTGTCTATTAACAACCATTTCACACTACCAATTAGAGTAGAAGGCAAACCGGAAAGGAAGATAAATATTAGTAATTTTTATCCTTTTTTAACACTGAAACACAACTGTATTATAGATCCAAATCTGGTAATATGCTTTTTCATTAGTCAATGAGGATGATAATTTTAACAGAGCTAGCTTGATACAAAGACATGACTCAGGAAAAGAGTAAGTTGCATCTCCTAGGCAAGGTGGTGGGTGCTCAACCTCATGGCACACTAATGGCACAACCTCAAACTGACCTGAAATCTAAAGTGGACATGAACCTTCAAATTTTGCATTGATTCACTTGGGTGCTACATAGAGGACACCAAAAAACTTCAAAGCTCTGTCCTGACCAGGGTGCTACCATGATAGAAATTAGTTGGTGATGCCAGCATGTTGTCGGCTAGTTCTAAAATACATATTGTGGGCAGTTTTCTCCACATATATTTAGTCAATCTAGCCTCACTGGCTCACAGCTCCAAAGTATATTAGTTTGCCCACCACAGCTTCTGTGGCTCCTAGCAGTCACTTCCTTTTATGTAATTAACACATAACAGATGAAGCTTCAGCGCATAAAAACTCAGAAATTTTCTTTTCAAATAAGCATTTAGTTGATTCACTTTCTGCTGATATCATCCGATTACTGTACCAAAATGTAGAATGCCTCATAGCACTGGTGAATCCTGGTGTAATATGGATGCAAAATCATATCATTAGAGCTAGCAATTTGAGATTATGTCTGAGATGGTGGCGAGCAATCAGAACCAGGGTAATATGGATGAAAAATCCTATCATTAGATGTAGTAATTTGAGATAGTGACTGAGATGGTTGGCAAGCAATCAGAACCAGGGATACCATGGCAAGTATAACTGACAAAGACGTTACTCACATGAGAAAATAGAGCGCCATCGACCTCAAGCGCTTGAGGTGCCGTTGCCAAAGGCACGGCTGCGTATGATGTCTTGGGGAAAGTAGAGTGTGTGCACCCAGTATCAGAGCTAGGCGCCGCCACCTCAGATCTATGCTTTGCTGCCTCGCTGCGCTGGGACAGCAGAACGACGACCTCGCTAAGCCAAACCGCCGGTTCCCTCCGAATCAAGTGCTAGCAGGCCAGTTCAAGCGATACGCCGATACGCTGTCTCTTGAACGACGACCTCACCATCTTCCATCGCGCCATCGCCAGCAACGAAGGGACAAGAGAACGGTGGGGGTCGATGGCAGCGTGAGGAATGAGGATGTAAGGGGAGAAAGGGAGCTGGCGCGACCTAGGAAGGAGGAAGGCGGTCGCGATGGGCTAGCGTTTCCCAAGGGGATGGGAACAGAGAGAGAGAGAGAGGAGAAGGGCGGCGGCGGGCTAGGGTTTGCTCAGGCTCCTTGCGAAGCTGCGATCAGGGTTCACTCTATCGGTTGAGGCATTTGTATCGGGGGTCACCGAAATCCCGAAATTTCGGTCCAAAATTTCTGAAAATTTGAGCAAAATTTAGTTGAATTTGAACAAATATTACCCAAATTCATGAAAAAATTGAAAAATTGAAAATTTTCGGCCAAAATAATATCGTATCTGGGGTGACCGAAAATTTCGGTCTGAAATTTCCAACACTGGTTGCGATTGGAGAGACAGAGAGGAGGGTGTGGGTGCGGGGAAATCGTGTGCTGCTGAGCTAACGATCCCGACGGTCAGATATCAATCGGATGGCCAAGCCAGACGATTAAAGAGAGCGCTCCAAATTCACCAGCCTTCCAGCGCGGGCGGACCGACATGTGGACCCACATGAAAGTATGGCCCAGCGAACAGAGAAAGAACGGTAAATTTTTTTTGTGTAAAAATCCCACGCGCCATGGCAAAGCCACCGTGCGGGGCGATGTGGATAGCTTGGGGAGCGAGCACGTCGTGCTGAAATCCCTCCGAACGCCCTGGTCCGAGCAGATCGCCCTTACTTTTAGGGCCCCATCGTTTCGCTTTTTTTCTAATAAGCCAAAACGGCTTATTAGAAAATAAAAATAAATTTGTAGGTAAAACTTTTATATATGTGTTCTTGGTGACTTAAAAGTCAATACTGAAATAGAAACTACGTTGAAAATATCTCAAAATCAATCTCATAATTAAGTTTGAAAATTTAAAATTTAGCTTTTTTTTCTGCTTAATGGGCAATCCGATGGGAGCCTTAATTACCCCGACTAGACCCCTATCAAGGATCCAAAGAACTTTTACCAATAAAGGAGCTCGAGCACCAGCCGCTGGTGTCACCATTCTCCTCTTGCAATTTCACCACCACCGCCACGGCCTCTGCCTCTCGCTCTCTCTCTCTAGGCGGCGCAAATGGCAGCCTGCGTCGATAAGTGGCCGGCGGCGTACCCGTGCCGCCTGCCGGATAAGTTCTACTGCGCCTTGCCGGACTGCACCACCACGGACCGTCCGGTGGCGCCGGCGCCGGCGGCTAGCGGGAGCAGCGGCGACTACGTGTGGGACGCGCTGCGCGCCGAGGCGCAGGACGACGCGGACGACGAGCCGCTCCTCCGCAAGTTCTACCACGACCTCGTCCTGTCGCGGCCGTCGCTGGAGTCCGCGCTCGCCTCGCTGCTGGCGGCCAAGCTCTGCATCCCCGGCGCGCTGCCGCAGGACCAGCTCCGGGACCTCCTCGCCGGCGCGCTCGCCGCGCACCCGGAGGCCGGGCGCGCCGCGCGCGCCGACCTCGCCGCGGCGCGCGACCGCGACCCGGCCTGCGCCAAGATGGTCCACTGCTTCCTCTACTACAGGGGCTTCCTGGCACTGCAGGCCCACCGCGCGGCGCACGCGCTCTGGTCCGACAACCGCAGGGCGCCGGCCCTCCTTCTCCAGAGCCGCGCCTCCGAGGTGTTCGGCGTCGACATCCACCCCGGGGCGCGCATTGGCGGCGGCATCCTGCTCGACCACGCCACGGGCGTCGTCATCGGCGAGACGGCCGTCGTCGGCTACGGCGTGTCCATCCTGCACGCCGTGACGCTGGGCGGCACGGGGAAGGAGTCCGGCGACCGGCACCCCAAGGTCGGGGACGGTGTGCTGATCGGCGCCGGGGCGAGCGTGCTCGGCAATGTGCACATTGGCGACGGAGCGGAGATCGGAGCCGGTGCAATCGTGCTACGGGACGTGGCGGACGGAACCACGGCCAAGCCGATCATCGGCAAGAAGGCGGAGCCGCAACGAGAGCTTCCCGGGGTAACCATGGAGCAGAGATGGTCGGATTGAATGGTTTGAGTAGCGTGCAGTGTGAACGCGAACTGGTTAGTACAATAGAGTTTCCCTCCAAAAGTTATTTTCTGGTGATGACTACTCTTGTAAACCTATATACGGAGTACTCTCTAGAGATTAGACAAGTACTCAATTAGCATTGAGCCATTTCAAATCTTTTTTTCTTTTTTTTTCTTTTTCTAAGGAATAACGAAAAACGTTTCTGATCATCTGTTGCCTCCTTGTAAGTATAGTAGGAGTTCATCCTCTCATATGTGTTTTTTTAGAGAAGGATATTTTTTACCTGGCCTTTATATCCAACCGGATATATGCAGCCATTTTAATTAGGAATTTAGCCTATTGAATAGGGAATTTAGTCTTATCCTCTTGTATGTTCTTCTGCTGAAGATCATAGTATTTTTCTTCTTACAATGTGAAGTACGGATGCTTTCTTAAATACTTGAGTAGTACAGATTGATAGTACATACCGAGTACTACAGTTTCTGATTCTGACCAAGTATAATGGTTTGACGAAACCCTACGTGAAGGTGGTCAACTAGCCAGTAGATGAGTAGTGGATAAGTTTATTAACTTGACTAGAGCACAAAGTATAGTAGCCCAAACGAAAACATGACCACTAAACTGTGAACGAGTTGCATAAATATAGCCGCAGAGAACACTTCCTTCAAGACTTCGTCCAAACAAATCGGCTAAATCTACAGCCTTTTTCGTGTTTACATCGCAGACGCAAATAATTGACGATATTGGTATCCTGCGAACTGAAGGACGTCAGGATAGATACAAGTGGATGCGAACTGTGGTTACCCGACGAAAGGGACTTTTGTGATAAGCTAACTCGATGAGGCTCTCTGTCAGCAAAGTCAACTTTGATATCCAGTAATCTATTGCTGGCGGAAACTGCCCTTGTGTCCGTGTTCTCCAATATGAAGTCCCAAGGAATCGAATATCGAGTGCTTCTACCATGATTTTCCGTGCTTAATTTTGATCATCTGTCTTAATTAAAAAAATTAAAAAAAAGATTAAAAACATAAGTCACAGGTACTATTCATATTTCATCATCTCATAATAATAAAAATACTAATTATAAAATATTTTTAAATAAGATGGACGACTAAAGTTAGATGAAAAACTCATTGTTGCTTAAAATAAGACAGAGGGAGTAAGATATTGCTTGCGGAAACTGCCCTTGTATCTGGGCTCACCAATATAAAGTCACAAGGAATCAAATGCCTCCAGATAACGGTACAGTCCACTATAAACTTATATAGCTCATATTAGTTAATACTCCGACCGCCCCTAAATATAAGGGATTTTGGTTGGATATTATACATCCTAGTACAATAAATCTGGACAGGGATTTTGGTTGGATGTGACACATCCTAGTAAAACGAATATAGACAAGTATGTGTCACATCCAACCAAAATCCCTTATATTTAGGGACGGAGGGAGTATGTATAGTAGATGAGCTATAAGGTTATCTTTATTTTTCTTCTCTTCTTTATATTCCTCATCTATGTATTTAATGTATTTATCTTGAAGTGTGTGAATAGCTAACTTTTGCATAAAAATCGACCGCTTCATTTTTTAGATTCTCTCTTCTTTACATAAGTGGTTTATAACCTACTAATAGTATTAATCTTGTTCTAACATGTAAAATGTAACCTCTACACAATCTTAAAAAAAATGGAAAGAGAAAGTAAAATATATAGTGTGAGAGTGAGTTAGTTAAAGAAGATTTTGGAGTTTGTGTGCTAATTAAGCGGTAACATATTATACAAGTTGCCTTTTATTGATTTAGAGCAGGTTTAATAATGTCGTAAACTTGCTAACCGTAAAACATCCACATCATCTATAGCACATTAGTATAGATTGCTCATATAACAATGGTCTTTATTACTATCATTTACGGTAACAACTGATATATTTTTTAATTGATACATGTCCCACTAATTACTGCATTCTTCACTATTGTTCCAAGCATGAACCAATCTCCACCAGGTTTACTTCTCTTTCTTCATTGTACAGTGTGCTGCAGCTGGGTGATAATTGTATCGTCGGCTCGCGTTCTCTCTCTACCATTTTCTCCTCCAGCACAGCAGTGGGGCTGACTTGGTTACGCTATCACTGATCCAGGTTGACCTATTAGACATGCTCTTATAGATAGCATAGTTAAAAGAAAAAAGTACGAATTACACCCCCCGACCCGAACTATCGCGCTTGACCGAATTACCTTCTTGAACCCGAAAACCATGCATTGCTCACCCTGAACTTTCAATACCGGATGAATTACCAATCTAGAGCGGTTTTATCCTACGTGGCATACGCGTGGCAGTCCAGTCAGCATTTTTTTTAAAAAATGGTGGGGTCCACCTGTCATGCCTCCACTTCACCTCTTCCTAATATCTCTCTCTCTCTTGCGCGCGGGCGCAAGTGCGCACGGCGGCGTGGAGCCGCGAACGATGGCGGCGTACATGGGCGGGTGGTGGGCGGCAGCCGCGAGGCAAGGAGGTAGCATTGCCCGCAGTAGGGATGGCGACGGGGAGAACGGGCCGAGCGCGGCCGTCGAGGTGGAGGCTGCGGCGGAGGGGGGCAGCGAGGAGGTGGCTCGATGATGAACCTGAGGAGAAGGACACCTCCTGCATGACGACCGGCGATGGAGGCGGTGAGTTCGGGCGGTCGGTGGTGGAGGCGGAGGCAGAGCGTGTCATTTGCGCCAACTGCCCGCATCGTCCTTCCAGATCCGCGCGGCCTCCGCCCCCGTCCGCTAATGTCCGGTCTCGGGGAGGATGGAAGGGAGGTGGCGCCATCGTGAGATACAACCACGGAGGAGGCGGGGACGACGTCAACGTGAGAGGCGGAGACAGCAGTGCCGCGATGAAGGTGGGAGAGCGGAGGAGGACGAGGAGGAAACGATAGCGAGAGCGAGGAGGAGACGGCGGCGGTGACAAGGAGAAGGGGCAACGATGGAATTTCACGGTCGCACGGAGGAAGAATTGGACTACGGCGTCAAATAAAAAACCGATTCAGGATTGAACTACAACGTCAAACAAAAAAATAATATGGAGGGAGTAATTGACAACAGAGAAGACATTACTCACGTGAGAAAATAGAGCGCCATTGACCTCAAGCGCTTGAGGTGCCGTTGCCAAAGGCACGGTTGCGTACGATGTCTTGGGGAAAGTGGAGTGCGTGCGCCCAGTATCAGAGCTTGGCGCCACCACCTCAGATCTATGCTTCGCTGCCTCGCTGCACTGGAACAACAGAACGACAACCTCGCTAAGCCAAACTGCCGGTTCCCTCCGAATCAAGTGCTAGCAGGCCAGTTCAAGCGATATGCCGATACGTTGTCTCCTGTCTACAGTCTCCACGCAGCCCCTCACCATCTTTCATCGCGCCAACGCCAGCAACGAAGGGACAAGAGAGGAATGAGGATGGTCGATGGCAGCATGAGGAATGAGGATGCAAGGGGAGAAAGGGAGCTAGCGTGACCTAGGAAGGAGGAAGACGGTTATGATGGGCTAGCGTTTCCCAAGGGGATGGGAAGGGAGAGAGAGAGGAGAAGGGCGGCGGTAGGCTAGGGTTTGCCCGAGCTCCTTGTGAAGTTGAGATTGGAGAGAGAGAGAGAGGAGGGTGTGGGTGCGGGGATATCGTGTGCTACTGAGCTAACGATCCCGACGATCGGATATCAATCGGATGGCCAAGCCAGGCGATTGAAGAGAGCGCTCCAAATTCACCAGCCTTCCAGCGCGGGCGGACCGACATGTGGACCCACGAGAAAGTATGGCCCAGCGAACAGAGAAAGAACGGTATTTTTTTTTGCGTAAAAATCCCATGCGCCATGGCAAAGCCACGTCGTGCTGAAATCCCTCCGAACGCCATGGTGCAAGCAGATCGCCCTTACTTTTAATTACCCCGACTAGACATTTTGCGCGCGTTGCGCGCCCTATCAAGGGTCCAATGAACTTTTACCAATAAGAATATTGTGAGAATAAAATTAAAGATCTATAATCTCTCTGATAGAGACAAAAATCATGAATTTCTATGGTAAATAGAGTGAGCATCGTGTTGTAGTTATGCTAACAAATTTTTTTCCTAAAACACAGAGTTGGTATATCTAGACAAAATTAACATGAACACCATATAACAGCTTAAACCATCACGTAGGCTAAATATAAATCACATAGTGCATAGCATAATTCATCAATTCAGCTTGTTTTCTTCACATCCTATTGAAGAGGGTATAAGTCATTTAATAACATGTAAGTACATAATATACATCGATACTTAGGAAGTGTAATATTTCTGCATGTCATAGTCAGACAATCATATCTTAACAATCCATTTTGACCAAAAGTTTAACCACCAAACTGTCCGCACAGAAGAAGCATATGTTAGACAACAAAGTAAACCATACTGGGGTTAAAAAATATAGAGTAAATTTCATAAAACTACATATATTTTGCACATTCTATCACAAAACTACAGATTTAAGAACTTATTTCACAAAACTACAGATTTAGTGTCTACGTTTATCACAAAACTACAGGTACTTTGCACAATACATCACAAAACTACAGATTTAAGAACTTGTTTCACAAAACTACAGATTTAATATCTTCATTTATCACAAAACTACAAGTTCAGTGTCTTCATTATCACAAAACTACATGTTTTAGCATTGTTAAAACCTGTAGTTTTGTGATAATGAAGACACTAAACATGTAGTTTTGTGATAAAAGAAGACACTAAATGTGTAGTTATGGGATAAACGAATACACTAAATCTATAGTTTTATGAAACAAGTTTTTAAATATGTAGTTTTGTGATAGATTATACAAAGTACCTGTAGTTCTGTAGTTTTGTGATAAAAGTAGACACTAAATATGTAGTTTTGTGAAGCAAGCTCTTAAATCTGTAGTTTTGTGATAAATTGTGCAAAATACCTGTAGTTTTGTGAAATTTACTCAAAAATATATCTCACGAATTTAAGCTAGATAACATTTCTCAAGTACCTGAAGACCATGTGTACAATAAATGATTTATTCATGTGCATTAGATATGCTCAGCAGCAGCCAGCAAGCTATACAAAGAAAATATCACATTGTTCATACTTCTTTGAATGGCATAACTACGATATTTGTAACAGATAGCAGATGTTTCACTCACTAAATCAACAGTACATAGAAAAAAAAAACATAGCTAACTAACTACTTGAAACAACTGTTTCCGAAGGAAAACTACAACTAAGCACTGACATGATAGCTACTAAACACAAAAGGCAAAAACTCAAGTTAAAATCATGGAATACTTATCACACATCCATAATGTATTTTTTAATAGTGCCACTGCTAATTTCCTTCCTATTTCATTCGACCTGAGAACTCAATAAACTAATGCTGAAATAGTTAACCTTCCACAAATCAGGCATTCAAATTCATGCAAAATGGAAATTGCTCAAGACAAATGATGGAAACTGCTATGTTATTTTACGAATATCCAGACAACGTGTTGCAGTGAGACATTAAAATGCTATGCAGATTCAGGGTTGCCATAATTAACTTCTTCTCCCTGGTAAGACCTCGTCAAGCAAAAGCCAATCAACATGAGCTGCATCTGAATTCAATCAACAATGTTAGAAGCAGTTGTGTTCGCCTAATTTTTCTGAAGATCAATCTTGTTATCTGTTAGAGAGTAACAATAGACCCCCACTAATTTAAGTAGCAGTTAAGAACAAAAATAATAAATTCAGAGAGAAATGACAACTCCCATCTAACTCTGCTTACCTTGCAGAAGCACAATCCAATTATTCATTGAATCCTAAACCTACAGCAGGACACTACTATTAATATGTAGTTTAAATCATTAGTACTTTGTTCACTGGAAATTATGCAAAATCATAGATGGATTATTGATATTTATTGAACTAAAAGCATGATACATAACATTCTTGAACTTGGGTCCACATTCAACATGAATTGCTGTCACAGAAAAAGGAGAAAAAACAGAGTATGCATTCTGATGTGGCTGCCTTGCCTTGCCATCTAATGTATTCTGATCTGGCTACCTTGCATTGCGCCTGACACCAATCAATGGAAACCATGACACTAAGACAGAGAGGGCCATCTCTTACCGACAAGAAGGAACCATATCGGGGATTGCAATTTCTCTGTTCATCTCGAATTGCAACGGAGGAGTTGCAGGTGAATATGGCAGCGACTGTGCCATTTCCGTGGTCCATCCAAGATCTCATCGAACCTAGTATTTGTGCTTCTACACCTGCCATCCCTAATCGGCGGAGGAGATAGAGCTCAGCTGCTCAGGAGGCATCAGCAACGGTGAGGAGGCAGCCGACAGGGGGACAGACGCCAGCGATGGTCCACTGATCCGGCGAAGCGGCCGACCGCTCGAGGGGACGTAATGTCGGCGCGGGGCTTGCTGGTGGTGACGGAGCTGAGCGTGGTGCTCGGCACCGTGGTCACGCTCCTTGGACCCGTCAACCTTCCCTCCACCAGCGGGCGGCGCTCAGCCAGACATTGGTGAGCCGCTCGAGTTAGAGGCGGGCCTCTTCGTCACGGGCGACAGCGCCGGTGCGAACATCTCTAGCCCTAGCCATCTTTGACGACCCCCTCCACCATCGGCCTCGCTGTGGAACGTCTTTTCTAGATCTGGACACCATGTCTCCTCCCGATCTGCTCTTCCTCGACCTCGCGGCTTCGGACCGGTGCCATCGTCGTCACCTCCACCGCCGTCAACCTGGGGGACCACGCCGGCACTCCATCTCCGACTCCTCGCCGGCGATCGATCTCCTGACAGAAGGGGATGTGCAGGCCGGCTGCAAGAGCGGAAGAGAGGCGGCTAGGGTTTGGGAGGGTGGGGTGAGGGGTGGGCGCCGGCCGCCAGGTGGTAGGGTTGTTCGTTTTTACAAAAAAGGCCACTCACTTGTTGTTATTTAAAGTGCGGCCTATTTTTCGTTTTTTTTCTCTTCTTAGCATAAGATATTTCAGGTCTTGGAGGGCCTTAAAGTAAGAATACAGAACACATAAACGAAGACAAGGGACTTATCACAGATTATCAATAATAGCAAGGGCTTTTTTTGTAAAACGACCAGAGTCAACGCGGGCCTCCCGCTCGCTCGTGAAATTCGGCTGCCTGGAGTTTCGGGGCCGACGTGGATAGCACGGGAAACGGCCACGCCTATGCAAAACGCTATGGAGGCGCCAATCCAGGGCAGGTTTAAATTTAACCGCTGTCTCTAACTCTATCATATTAAATATCACGATCAAGGACAAGGTCACAAGGGCCATCAAGATTCTAAAATTTTATACACGTATACTAGGGCCTATTTGAAGGAAATCTACAGCAATTAGTTGCAGTCTTGTATTTCTAGACAAACTTTATGTCAAAAATCATTTCAAGACCGGAAGCACACCAGAAATAAAACTAGTGATCATTGGATCAGACACACAGTTTGCCAACTACAAACAGCTATCCTCACCACAACAATCATGGAGATTCACTCTAATGTAGACATGTATTGCAGTTCACTGCTGAAATGAATTGAGACAAAAATATCAATGTATCATGAAGCACTATATTCCCCCATAGAACATCATACCCCCCCAAAAAATACCATGTGCATTCAATGAGAACATACCTGGAAAGCTCAAAGCAAGGCTAGTGCAACAACCAGCTATTCCAGCATTAACAACTGCAAATGAAGAATTCATAATTAGTGCTATATATTCAACTACCAAGATGTTACATCTAAAAAACTAGCACGATGTTAACAGAAAATAGGGAACTAAAACAATGCACATACTGTCATCTTTGCCACGCAGCCTTCTCAACAGGCACACAACTAGACAATGGACGCCAGAGAGAACTGCAAAACTTTGATCCGATAAATTTATGTTATGAGCAAGGTGTCTGGATGATTTTCATGTACAGAAGAACTGAATTCACATTATCAATAGTTAACCTTGGCAGAGGACCCTGGGTGCTGAACAAGCCCTTAAATCCCCTCTTAGTGAACAAACCTTGTCCTGAATAAAGAATCCAGTACAGAACATAAAGATTTTACACGAGGAAAATAACTAGTTGCTACAAATGGCCTTAACTAATTCACATGTCTGGTACTTAACAAGATTAATAGCATCTTCATTGACATAAATATCAAAATTCAGATGAAGGAACCAAAGATTCCTCACAAGATGTGCTATTATCTACACATTCTAGATTTATTACAAATTCTTACAGCCATACTAGGTGAGTTTGAGGAGAAGGGGATTGAGAAGATTGGGAAGATACGCAAAACGAGGTGAGCCATTACCGTATGATTAATTGAGTATTAACTATTTTAAATTTAAAAAATGGATTAATCTGATTTTTTAAAGCAACTTTCCTATAGAAAATTTTTGCAAAAAACGCACCGTTTAGTAGTTTGGGAAGCGTGCGCGCGGAAAACAAAACAAACTATCTCTCTTTCTCCAGCTGCCGAACACAGCGTAAGAATAGGTTAGGAATGAACTTCCTTTGCATGACATGGAAAGGAACAAAATCTAAAACTAGAAAAAGTTCGTGATTACAACAACATAGACAACATGGGCAGCACCGGAAACACATAAACACTGAAACACAAGGGGGCAACGGAGAAATTGGGATAATACCATATCCAATGGTAGACACCAAATGAACTGTTGGTAGTGGATGCATGAGTGTTGCTGCACTCTGAAGCACGGTAGACAAATCATGATGACTAAAAGCAACTGCGCACATTGAAAGTTTTATTAGCATGCAATTTGTTTATTACCCAGTTAGAAGAGATGCAAATAGAAAGATTGCGTTGTTATCTTTTTAAAATGAAGCGTAGAGAAAAAAATCACAGTAACTAAAGAATGCTGGGCATTCATAACCCATTCTGTGCAGTTACAAAACAGAAGGTAGGTTATTGGTCATAGTCTCTGCCATCTTCGTAGGAAGAAATACCAGTACGAACAAAAGGTACATTATTGTGAAGAACAAAAACAACAGAGGCCACAGAGGTGGTGCATCTTTTGTAGCTATACAATTACTTGAAGGATGGTGCAACAAGAAATCAAGCTTACAGAAAAGGGTAGGTCTTACTTAGGCCTAACAGTCTAGCAGCCAGGTATTTACTTGCTGTCACTGTACAATATATGGACATAGCAAATAGAGCATAATTAGGCATAATTACTGAAACAGGGGATAAAAACATTTAAACATAAAAGGGGGAAAGGTCTATACATCCATGGTGGCAAAACCTGGGAGGTAATTAGAAATTCTCACACGGTACAGGGGAAGTATTAGGTGGATTTGTAGTGCAATTGATAAAGTAGGCAACCCGGCTGTTCAGGGGGTGAAATGGATTTTTTTTTTCTGTGACAGTCTAAAACTGACGCTCTGTATAGATTGTTCATGGTGTAAAGTAATAACTATTCTCTACTAACGAGCATGTCCAAATTGATGATGGGTTAGAAATAAGAAATATTACACTGCCCAGCACAAACAATAAGCTATCATTGATGATGAGTTATAATGCAGGCAAGAATAGCCAAAATATATACCTTCTTACATAGCTTGAACACGACTTTGTCCAGAAGGCTTCACTAACTCCTCCCTGTCAATCATCATCCTAACTCTCTTTGCATCCTCAACCATTCCGGCCTTTGCATATATATTTGACATAGTCACAAAATTTCCAGGGTTATCTGGCTCCAATTGAACCAGTTTCTCAAAAGCGATCTGTGCATGATCCACATCATGGTGCATCCTACTTCCAGATAACAAAGCACCCCATACAACTGCATTTGGTCTGATTGGCATCTGATCAATAAATCCAGCAGCCTCTCTGAACCTCCCAGCTCGTGAAAGCAAATCCACAATACAAGCACACTGCTCCATAGTAGGGATGAGGGCAGAATTTTCCACAAACCGCTCAAAAAGCGCAAGACCTTCATCAACCAAGCCACAGTGGCAGCATGCCATGAGCAGAGTTGTGAATGTCACTGAATCTGGCTGCATCCCACAACGCAACATTGCATCCACAAGTTCAAGTGCCCTCTCTCCATGCCCATTCTTTGCGAAAGCACCTATCATCACATTCCATGACACAACATCCTTCCGTTCAATCTCGAAGAACACATGTTCTGCATTGTCGACACATCCAACACGTGAATACATGTTCATCAACGCATTCCACAGAATTGCGTTTGAACCACTATCACCATGGTTTCTCACCATGTGCCCATGGACCTGTCTTCCAGACTCCAAATCACAAGCCCCCAGCACAGCAACCGCGGTACGGGCATTCCCTCGAACACCTCTTGCGCGCATCTCCCGGAAGCAATCCCACGCCTCGCCATTCATCCCGGCACCAGCGAACCCCCCAATCATCGCGTTCCAGGACACCACGTCCTCGCCGTCCATACGATCAAAGATCCTCTTGGCCGCGCTCACCCTCCCACACATCGCATACAGCGCGACGAGCGCCGGGCCGGCCGAGGCGTAGAAGGCCAGCAGTGGCGCGGTCTTTACCCCGTAGGCGTGCGCGGCGCGAGCGGGGAGGGAGGCGGATGCGCGGCGGCAGCAGGAGACGACGCAGGAGAGGAGCTCGGCGTCGGGGCGGGCGACCGCGGCGGCGGAGAAGAGGGAGAGGGCCTCCCGGGGGCGGCCGTGGCGGGAGAGCGCGGAGAGGATGGCGGTGTAGGATCCGGTGGAAGGGTGGGGGATGAGGGAGAAGGCGCGGAGCGCGCAGGGGAGGAGGCCGGAGAGGGAGTAGGCGGAGACGAGGGCGTTGGAGGCCGGGAGCGAGGAGGGGAGGACCCCCAGCTTGAGAGCGGCGGCGTGTAGGGTGGAGACGGCCGGGGCGGCGGCGCCGGGGGTGGTGGCGGCGGAGACGAGTAGGCGAGGGAGGGAGAGAGGGTCGACGGGAAGAGCGCGCCGCTCGCCGGCGGCGGGGGCCGAGGTCGAGCACCTGGCGCGTCCGAACATTGCGCGCTCTGTAAATCCCGTAGATTACCATTCCATGGCTTTCCACGTTAATCGAACGGCTTACAATCACCATGGAAATGCCTTCGAGTGTTTGACGATCTTTCTCTCTTTTGATTTTCTGTTTTAACAAACATCATGATCAATACATGAAAATTCGTATACGTAGGAATCACAAATTGAAATCGGTTCCTATCAAAGAAAAAAAGGAATCAACGATTGAAATTTTCATATTGGTGTAGTTTTGCATTGTATCGGATAGCGGGGTTGATGCGACAACTGCACGGAAATATATTGGTTGTATTATAGTAATGTTAGTTTCATTTTAAATTAAAAAAATGTTATTGATAATTAAGACTTCAATCCTAACCGATGAAATGGGATGCAATATCCTTTTCTCGAATGCACGTGCACGTAGTCGTACCAACTCTATCACTATAAACACATTCAAAAATTTAGGTTAGAAGTCACCGCAGGTACTACTTACCACGAAAAAAATAGGCTAGAAGATATACCCGTCTAATAAAATAATCACTGGCCACCGCAAAGCATTGTTTACCGAGAAAGACATGACCAATTTATTATTGCGCCATTTCCCAAAAACTAGTACAGAAATCACCACACATTACCATATGCCGAATTCATATCCTCTACTCAGCATTATGCCAAAGTTATGTTGAGTAGAGGAGACTCAAACATTGTCAGACATGTTGCACCATAAGTAACCTAGCTAATTAATTGATACTTAATTCATTCGTAGAAAGTAATCCATGATAGACACAAAGTAATCTATGATAGACACACTACATGTAAAGAACACGTAGGCCAAAATCTCATATTTCTAATTAACATTTTCCCCATATATATATATATATATATATATATATATATATATATATATATATATATATATATATATATATATATATATATATAGTAAATTTGTTTGGTGCTCCATGGTGCCCGGGCACCATTGTTGAAATTGAGTATATACCCAATTCAAATGAGCATGAAACTTTTTCAATTATTTAGGTATTAATATTAACTACTTTACTAACTAGTTGAAAGCAAGTTTGAACTGAATTTGAACTTGTTTTTGTTAGATTTTGATTCTAGGTATATAGCATCCATACATATAATTAGTTAGGTATGTAATCATGGATTGTGAAATAAAGTTAAATTTGAGTTGTTTTGTTGATAGGTATAGGTATGAATCGAATTCTTATAACTAGGTATATACTCACAATTTGAAAATTTTGAAAAATTTAAGTGATTTTGTGCATTTGAAACCATGGTGCCCGGGCACCATGGTGCCCCATATGAGTGTCCTATATATATATATATATATATATATATATATATATATATATATATATATATATATATATATTATAACACGGCCGGGAGGAGGAAATGAAAAAGGAGCCATGATGAGAGGAATAGACAGATTACTTACATCTATCTACCCTAAAGTTCAACAAATACTTTCACTCATTCTTTCATTCATCACTCAATGGTTCAGATTATCCCTGTGAAATCCAATGCTCCAGATTCACCCTCCCCACAAACGAGCGCTCCCTTCCCACCCCAACCGCGCCCAAACCTCACCATCACACCGCCCCGCCACGATTGACGTCGCCGCTGACCCCAGCTTCTCGTAGAACGCTAAACCCTAACCTCCCCTCTCTCCCCACCGCTCGAGGTCGCGCCCTCATCGCTGCTGCTCGTCGCCCGGAGCGAGCGATGCGGTCACCGGAGATGAGCACAACCGCTGGGGCACCACGCTTTCTCGATCGGAGGCCAGCAGGATGGAGGAGGTTGCGGGAGAGACGCCGACGCCGTCACACGCTGTTGATCCGATTCCTTGCTACTAGATCAGGATGCAGTCCCTTTTTTTTCGTAATCTGCATGTAATCCTAGGGTTGGAGGAAAGGCACTGTGGAGAGGAGAAAGTGGAGACGGGGTGCCGGCGTGCCGATGCAGACGAGTGGCCAAGAATAGGTAAATAGCTCTGTTCTATTGCTAGCTAGCTTTTTTTTTTACTTACTATGACAAATTGATCGATCTCCCTGTTGGATTTTTATTAATTCTGATTGAGGAATGACGTTTTGTTTTGAACTTTTGTGCCGTTTGATTTGCAAGATTACTTTGCTAGATTTAGCAATTGTATAATATTCAAAACAGAGGCTTTCACTATCACTAATTAGAGAGCAGAAACAGAAAGAATATAGAGTCAGAGTTGGTGTACCCTGCAAGTCTGACGATTGGATTGTACATGAACTGCAATTTGCATTTCATGCTACTATGGCATTATGCTCAGTGAATCTTGCTGACTTCCTTTATTCAGGCACAAGTAATTTGTGTCGGATGATCAATTCTAAGCAGTGTCTATGTGAATACCGTTTGAACAAGGAGCTGTGTGGGTTTTTAGGATTCAATTCTAATGAAGCCAAAGAAAATATCTTGAAGATATTTTTCAGGTTATTGTTGTCTTTTGTGTCCTTCAGAGATGGGGATTTTGTACTAATTTAGTCACTATCTTGATATACCTGTGCTGCTGCTACCCATAATACTAAAGTCTGCCTAGATAATGATTTTCAAACTGCATTGCATGACCAGAAATATTATCAGTTAGGATTAGATTGTTCTCAAGGTTTTAATGATTGTCACATGGATAGTTCTTTCTACTACTTTCACTATGTAGGTGCATATCTATGGGAGTAATATATGTTCCATGTGTGTCTGCATCAACTAAAATACCTGATGGATGTACATGTTCATTAGGAAATTAGAGCTGCAACAAATAAATTTCATGATTTTTGTTCCCACCATCATAGTAAATTTCATGTGATATAGAGGAATAGCAAGCTAACACACGTTCTTGAGATTCTTTAAACAATCAATTATTTACTTGTTGGTAAATCATGCATCTACAGTTAGATTTGTGGTTTCCGTGATTACATTACATCACCTGAAGTAATCAACAGATTTGAGCATTTTGTGTATGCAAGTAGTTGAAGAATTTCACCATGTTCTGCATGATATGAAGTATGAACATTATGCTAGAGTTACTGTAGATCCTGGCATCACAGTCCCTTAGGTTTGGTAAATTCAAATTTACCATGTTACTAAGACATGTACGATAATTTACAGGAATATGAAATTATTTTTAGACCAAATATATTACAACAATATATATACCGTTGTTTGGTTTTGAGACATTTGAACTTATTTTGCTAAAATATGTATCTTTTAGCATATGATTGTTTAATTCACATTACTAAATATCGCCGTAGCGTTAGTACGGGCATATTACCAGTTCCAACAATTGGCCATGTTTTTTCAATGGAATTTTCGTTAACCAAATGAAGGCATCAAATTCCTGTGTCTGGGGTAGACGTACTAGGACAACACGAACAGGAAAATACGCACAGAACATACTTCCTCCATCTCAAAATAGATAAATCAACTCTTGTACACTAGAATTCATTCATGTATATGTATATGTAAAATTATTTTGCTTGACCCTAGTATGAAGGTGAAATATATTTAATTAAATCCGATCCAGAGCACAAAATGAGAAGTGTTTTTATTCATAAATTTCTATTTAAAACACACGAGAGTCACATACCCTATCGAGAAGGCTGTACCGTCTGGACCTATGATTAACCATCTGGAGCGTTGTGCTGCTGTTCTTATTACAACCACGCCGAACCTCGACGCCGGTGAACACCGCGAATTTCTCGTCGAAATCAAAGTTGGACCTCCACCCTTTGTACATGAATCTGACAATGCAGAACCTGCCGGCGCCGAGAGGGACGAGGTGCGGCGTCACCGGTGAGCCGCTGGGCGACACGGGGCTCACCTTCCACACATTGCGCCGCGGCGGCGAGGTCGGACGCGCACAGCTCGTTGCCGTCGGAGGAGAGCGCGAACCAGAGCTTGTGCTCGGGCGCATACTCGGCGCGGCCTCTGAACGGAAGCAACCAGTCGCCGAGCTTGGTCCATGTGGCGGTGGACGTGTCAAAGGAGTAAGTCCCCGCGGCGGCGGCGACGGTGCTCTGCACTGTCATCCAGATGCATGAGCCGCCGACGGCCGTGTAGGCGGTGAGGAAGTCATCATCATCTTGGAAAAAGTTGCGGATGCTATCAAGGGCATCATCGGCGGTGAAGGCGAAGGGCGGCGAAGGGAGGAGGCGCCAGTGCCAGTGCGGCGTGGCGAAGGGGTGGTTTGGGTGGCGATCGTGGACGAGAACCTCGAAGCAAGAGGAGGGGGATTGGGAGGAGGCCGGGTACCTTTCCATGACGTAGATGTTGCCTCCGATGGTGAGCGACACCGGGAAGGCCTTGGGTGTGTTCATCGGGGGAAGGATGGTGACGGCGCGCGAGGCGGCGCCGTACAGCACCCCGCTGCCGCTGTAGTCGACGGCGACCACGTCGTTCTTTTCGCCGCCTCTGCCGCTGCCGCTGCCGCTGCCGAGAGGCATGAAATCCACGGAGGAGGGCCAACTCGGAAGCCCGTATGATGGGCAAGGGTGGAAGATCATGGCGGCGCGAGGCAGCTGAGCGTCCTCGACTTCCATAGCGCCGCCGCGCCGCCCTTCTTCATCCTCATCGGCGGCGAGCGGACGGAACAGCGTCGAGACGTCGACGCGGTGCAGGCCGTAGGACGGCTGCCGCCGGGCGATGCCGTCGAGCACCAGATTCACAAATCGCCGGGGGCTGTTCATTCTCGCCGCCGCCGCCGCCACCGCCGCCGAGAGATCCGATCCCCCGGATCTAATCTAAAACGGGACGAGAAAGAGCCTGGATGAAATCGTAAAAGGACGAAGGGAAAGTAGTACTACTCCCCTTGCCTTGGTGACGGCCCAAGAGGAGGCCGGAGAGGGAGTAGGCGGAGACGAGGGCGTTGGAGGCCGGGAGCGAGGAGGGAGGACCCCCAGCTTGAGGGCGGCGGCGTGTAGGGTGGAGACGGCCGGGGCGGCGGCGCCGGGGGTGGTGGCGGCGGAGACGAGTAGGCGAGGGAGGGAGAGAGGGTCGACGGGGAGAGCGCGCCGCTCGCCGGCGGCGGGGGCCGAGGTCGAGCACCTGGCGCGTCCGAACATTGCGCGCTCTGTAAATCCCGTAGATTACCATTCCATGGCTTTCCACGTTAATCGAACGGCTTACAATCACCATGGAAATGCCTTCGAGTGTTTGACGATCTTTCTCTCTTTTGATTTTCTGTTTTAACAAACATCATGATCCACACATGAAAATTCGTATACGTAGGGATCACAAATTGAAATCGGTTCCTATCAAAGAAAAAAAAGGTGTAGTTTTGCATTGTATCGGATAGCGGGGTTGATGCGACAACTGCATGGAAATATATTGGTTATATTACAGTAATGTTAGTTTCATTTTAAATTAAAAAATGTTATTGATAATCAAGACTTCAATCCTAACCGATGAAATGGGATGCAATATTCTTTTCTCGAATGCACATACACGTAGTCGTACCAACTCTATCACTATAAACACATTCAAAAATTTAGGTTAGAAGTCACCGCAGATACTTCTTACCACAAAACTTACCTCGAATTAAGGCACCTTTGAAAAATACCTGTCTAATAAAATAATCACAGGTCACCACAAGCATTGTTTACCCAGAAAGACATGACCAATTTACCATATGCGCCATATTAAAAAACTAGTCTAGAAATCACCACACGTTACCATATGCCAAATTCATATCCTCTACTCAGCATTATGCCAAAGTTATATTGAGTAGAGGAGACTCAAACATTGTCGGACATGTTGCACTATAAGTAGCCTAGCTAATTAATTTATACTTAATTCATCCGTATAAAGTAATTTATGATAGACACACTACGTGTAAAGAACACGTAGGCCAAAATCTTATATTTCTAATTAACATTTTTGCATATATATATATATATATATATATTAAAATCAAATAGCTATATCAACCATGCGAACTAATGAGCACCCTCCCCCCCCCCCTTCCCCGTAATGGAACTTCAAACAACTGCCAGCAAACTCTCCCCAGCTTGATCATTGAGAACACTCAACCGCCATATATCAAGCAAACCATATCATATATCTAGCTCAGAAGATATTTGGTAATTTAACACTCCTTAATATTGGTTTCGATTATTTGACATATTAGTCCACTTTCATTCATCTTAGATGGTTCTACATGTTATCCTCAAAAGTATCAATTGAAGCAACAGGACAACGAAAAAAGTGTTAAATTATCATTTTTTTCCAAGTTTGGTAGGTAAATTGTTCTAAAAAAAATGTTTGCTAGGTAAACATTATGTTTTAGAGTACAACGCAGAGCAGCATGCGACTATGTCCTCGCTCACAACGTCCATTTTGCAAGTAGAATCGTATCAATTTGACAGTGTTGTAATTTGAACTCAAGAGGATTAATTTCAAAACAACGTGCCAATCTCCACGTGCTCCCAGCAATGACACACGGGTTTGTCACGTTTCCCAAACTTAGCCCATCAAAGAAAGGAATAGACCGGAAGAAAGCCCATCACGACTCGCCTTCCTCCCTCCGCCCGTTCGCCGCAGCCACCGAACCACCACCGCCTCTCTCTCTCTCTCTCTCTCTCTCCTCTCTCTCCGGCGAATATTCCCTCCCCCCTCGCCTTCCTCTCCACGCCAAAGCCGGCAACCGCGCCGCCTCCGCCGCGCCCAACAGCTCAGACGCTACCGGAGTCCGGCGACTCGACGCGACGCGGCGCGACGCTCCTCCGCCCCGGCGATGCTGCGGCGCGGGCTCCTCGTCGTCAATCGCCTCCGCAATGTCCACCTCCAGCGTCTCCCCCGGCATCGCACGCACTGCTCGAGCGGTCCCGCCTCGGCGCCGTCGACCTCGACGACGTCCTCGTCGGCGCCGCTCCCCGTGGCCGCGCCTCCCCCGCCCCACCACCTCGCGCCCCGCGGCGGCGGCGGCGGCGGGGGGCCCCGACGCCGCCTGACCCCGCTCCTCGCCCTATCCACGCTCTCCCTCGTCACGGCCGCGGGGACGATCTACCACATCTCCGCGTGGGACCTGGAGGGGACGGTGGAGAGGTCCAGGGCGTCCGCGGCACGCGTGGTGGAGCGGATGCAGCACACCTGCGCGGCGGGGAAGGTGCTGTGCAGGTCGCTCATGTCCGTGCTGTCGTCCGCCAACCACGAGGTGAGGTCCGGGTTCGAGCTCCGCGTCGCCGCGCTGCTCGCCGACATCGCGGCCGCCAGCGCCGCGCGCCGCGCGGCCATCGTGTCGGCGGGGGGCGGCGCCGTCGTCGACTGGCTGCTCGAGAGCGTCGTGCGGCGGGCCACGCAGGCGGAGGCCGCGCGGGCGCTCGCGCACCTGCTGGCCGATCCCTGGGTTGCGCCTGCTGTGCTCGGTCGACCACGAGCGGTTCCCTGCCTCCTCCAATTCATCTTCTCTTACCAGCCAAAACGCGGCAAGAAGGTAATGTCCTGTCAGGTGCTACTCTTGAATTATTTGCTTTGCTTGGCTGCCGTAATTGTAGCTTTAACAGAATAAATTTTGCAATCAGTTTAAATTATTCGAGCATGCCAATGTAGCTGGCTCTAATCTACTAGGTGATTGTTGTTGTAAATTCTGTCCAATCTGCAAGATAAAGAGAGAAAACTCTGAATGTTTATATTGAATTGTTAGTTTCTTTCTTTTTAGTTGAGAATTAATGATTTGGTGTAGCTTGATTTGTTCTTGTGTTAGGAATTTCAGTATTGATATGCTATGTTATAGGAATCAGATGTTGAGATGTGCATCAGTACAGCCTGATTATAGGTGGAAAACAAAATTTGCATCCTCGTGTGCTCTGAGGTTTCTGGCATTTTTATGTTTTCATCCCATGTCTTTGTGAGCATGGAACCTTTGGCCCTTCAGGTTTTCAGATTGCAAACTCTTAATATATGCTATTGATGTTAAGATAAAAGATCTCATGGGGGAATGAGTTATGTTATGCACCTGCATGCCAGTTATGCAATAATGCAGTTATGTCTAATGGATTATCAAGACCTTGGAGTTGGTAAATATAATTTATTTTCCTTGATGGCTTGGTGATCTCAGCTCTCCTATAGGCAATTTCTTTTTTTGCTTGCTGGCAGTGCTTTTTCTTCAGCTTATCTCTTCTTTTTTTCCCCTATACATGTAGTATTATGTTTCATGCGCATCTTAATCTAGCAATGTAGGTCTATTAAACCATTTAGATTTTCCAGTTCTGGTTTCCTTGGACTTTAACACAATATGAGTTGTTTGTACCTAATATATTGCCCTCCTGTTAATACAGAACTCGGAATACTCTTCATTCAATGTCTCAGACCATTCTAAAGGAAGGAGCATGCTTGTTGCTGCACTTATGGACATCATCACTTCCAACTGCGATAATGCGGATTATTCATCATTTCAGCCTTTATTGCCTTCAGATGCTGATACAAGAGATATTGCGGCAGCCATCGAAGTCATTGAGCAAGGGGGGATGCATTTTGATGACCATGATGATAATAACAGTGATGATGGTGACAGTGGATTAAAAGGAATAGGGATTAAGGTACTTGGTGGGACTACTGTCTTGGGATTCTCTAGAGAAATAAACTCATTGGAGGTGGGCAACTCGGATGATGGTATTGTTGGAGCTTCGAATAGTAGAATATTGATGCAAGAAACTGCTACTGATTCTCCACTAGTGGAGAAGCTAAGTTCTGCTGCTGCTCCAGGCCTCTGGGATGATTTGCAGAGGGAGCATGTAGCTGTACCTTTTGCTACTTGGGCTCTTGCTAATTGGGCTATTGCATCTGATTTAAACCGTTCTCGTATTCAAGAACTTGACAGTGATGGACATACTGTCACAACTGCACTGAAAGCACCTGAAAGAACTGTCAAGTGGCATGGAGCCATGGTGGCGCGAGCTCTTTTGGAAGACCAGAGCTTGACTTTGGCTCCTTCTGTCCCTGACTGGTGCTCAAGTCTTCTTTTGACAGCTTCTCGGGCTGCTGAGAATGGTGACATGGCATTGGCTCAAATGTCACTATCAACTTTCCTATTATCCATGATAAGGTGTAATGAGTCAAAATTTGTGATCAGACAGAAGGGTCTTCATCTTCTTCGTAGTATCGCAAAAAAGATAGAAAATGAGAATGCTCAGAGCAGGATGAAGGAATCATTAGCAGTGGCACTGAGTTTGCTCTATGCTGGTGAAGTTCCGTTGTCACTTGAAGAAACTCAAAGATGGTCCGGCATTCTTCTTCGTTGGCTCTTTGATAAATCTGTTTCAGAAACTACAAATCTCACAGCTATTAAAATCCTTTCATGCATTCTTGAAGACTATGGACCAGCTTCCGTACCAATTTCTCAGGGATGGTTGGCTCTCGTGCTTTCTGAGATTCTTGGAGATAACAAGACACAGAATTTGAAAGGAACCACCCAGCCTCAACCAGAGAGAGTGAAGGTAAGAATCTTGTTATTGTTTTTAATAAATATATATTTGAATGCGTGTGCCGCCAACTGTTCTTAGTAGTTAAGTTGGTTGATAAATGAGTTTTAGATAAATAAACATGACGATAATCAGACTGAAAATACTAGAACGTCAAGAACTTAAGATCACCAGTATAATATAGTATGTCACATGTTCAGATTTATGACAAGTATTAACCATGGAGGAACAATGTTCTAAACATTCCATATATAAAATTTGCTTTGTTATTTGGCGACTCTATAAAGTGCTTCATGCCAGATGCTGTTTAGGTTTTTTTTTTTTGGGAGCTATCTTCTTGTCTTTCGAAACATTTCTATGAAATACACATGTTTTGATATTTTTATTTTAATTGTGTTATATTGTTTGAAACAAAATTTGAATATTTGGTTGCTACTAGCCTGCTACTTTTCTTGTGCAGAGTTTCACATTTTCTATCATCTGCCATTTTCAGTTTAGTGCTGCTCTTTTTGGATGTTACAGTATAACTTATTTTGTGTTATAAAGCTTTAGCTTAACTCCTGATAGTACTCCTGATAGTACTAATTTCACAATCTTGTTCTTCCTCCTTTTTTGTCCTGAATCCTGATACTAACCTTTTTTATGGACAGAATCAAGTTGATCACCATAATGCTTCCTCTGCGACTCAGATCTTGAATCAATTAGCTACTGCTGTTGTGAAATTGGCAATAGTTCAATCACACTATGATCCTGCTTCTGGTGACAAAGTACCCCTTTTCGATTTTCTCTCTCTTGAACCATTTGCTACAGCTCTGAAGAACTTGAATAAAAAGAACCCACCTAAGTTTGATGCTGCTGACTCAGCATCCGCTACGCTGAAGGGAATAAAAGCACTGGCAGAGCTTTGTTCTGAGGATGGTGCATGCCAAAAGAGAATTGCTGATTTAGGAGTTCTTTCCCTGTTGAGGCGCATCCTCCTTGGTGATGATTATGAGAAACTCGCTGCGATCGAAGCATATGATGCATCACGAATTCGAGAAGTGCAAGACAAGAATGTGTCTACCTCTAATGACTCCTCTAATGACACTACTTCTGATCCCTCCAGTGTACGGGTTCCTCCAGCAGCTCATATTCGAAGGCATGCTGGCCGGCTGGTTACCATTCTCTCTCTTCTACCCAATTCAAAGAAGGAAATTATTTCTGATGATGTATGGTGCAAGTGGCTTGAGGAATGCGCAAGTGGACGAGTTCCTTGCAATGATTTAAAATTAAAAAGTTACTGCAGGTTAACTTTGTTAAATGTATTCTGTTCTGAGGATCCAAATACAGGAAGCACTTCTGATGAATACCCTGATTCAAAAAGTGAGTATAAAAGAAAATGTCCTCAGTTTGGAGATGCTTTGTTCTTGTTAAATCCAGAGTTGCCTCTTGAGGTTCATTTGGACAACAATGGTCATGAAATTTCAAGAAAGAAATTTAAGGATGACTGTTGCACTGAAGAAGGTGGTGACTCTGAAACTGGAGATGCTCCAAGCAACAGAGCCAAATATACACCCCCTTTAATGGATGTCGTGTTCGTCCATGGTCTTCGTGGTGGGCCATTCAACTCATGGCGGATAGCTGATGACAAGTCATCAACCACCAAAGCAGGTCTGGTGGAAAGTATAGATGAAGATGCTGGCAAAGAGGGAACATGTTGGCCAAGAGAATGGCTTTCAGCAGATTTTCCTCAAGCTCGTTTTTTGACAGTCAAGTACAAGGTTAGTTTGGTGCTCTGATGTTCTTTATGTGGGGAGGGTTATACTGGTCTCTTTTAAAACTTTTGTTATTCTGGTAATATTCGATGCTTCCCTGCTGATGGAATTATTGTTGCTTTTATATGTTTGGAGGTCTTACTGGTTTCAAATGATTTATGCAGACCAATCTGACACAATGGACCGGAGCCAGCTTGCCACTTCAGGTTAGTTTTTTCTTTTTCTTTTTCTTGTTCCATTGCTGATCTCGCGAAAACATTCCATAATTTTGTGATACTCAGATCTGATATGTTCTGTAGTTGGATAGGAGATGCTCAGAGTTTAACTTTAGGCTTATTTGTTTCTTCTTACTGAAATTTATTCAGTTGAAATAATATTTGTATATAGGAGGTGAGCTCTATGCTGTTAAGGAAGTTAATTGCTGCTGGCATTGGCAGTCGTCCTGTTGTTTTTGTAACTCATAGGTAATGATGGTCGCTTGGTTCATGATGTAGTGCTGGAAATTGTTGAAAAGTCTGTGACAGATGAAAAGGCTTACTTATTCCCATTTACATATATGCAGCATGGGAGGACTGGTGGTTAAGCAGATGCTGTATCAAGCGAAGCTGAACAATTATGACAAGTTCCTGAACAATACGAATGGGCTAGTATGTATTTGTTTGTCAATTCTTTCAAACATCTGTGAGATCTAACCATGTTCATATCACAGGTTTTCTATAGCTGTCCACATTTTGGTAGTAGGCTCGCAGACATGCCATGGCGTATGGGTTTGGTGTTTCGTCCAGCTCCATCGGTTTGTCCTTCACAAAAAACTTGCAGCTTATCTTTTTTGTTCACCCCATTCTATATTTATGACACTTGCAGCTTATCTTTCTTTAGATTGGCGAGTTAAGAAGCGGATCCCCAAGACTTGTTGAGTTAAATGATTTTGTGCGGCAACGCCATAGTAAAGGATTGCTCAATGTTCTTAGTTTTAGTGAGGTAAAGGAAGATATTGTTATTCAATTACACATTATGCTTTCATTGTTATAATACTAATATACCTATGTCAACTGGCTTCACACCTTAATAGACTCAAGTCACACCGATCGTTGAAGGTTACGGTGGTTGGGCACTTCGGATGGAGATAGTACCGATTGAATCTGCATACCCAGGATACGGGGAACTTGTTGTAAGTAACCACGTTATAACGTTCGCACCATTGCGTAGTTAATTGTGATCTGCTAGCCTTGCACTATAACGGACTTGATAGATCATGCATCCACATCTAGTACTCTGCACAGTTTTAACATGCTTAATGATGTCAACAATATATGATTATACATGTTAGAGACACAAAACCCAAGCTAGTGTGGTAAAGACACAATGTTGATTTTGTAGGTATCCCATTGTATTTTTCTTCTTGTATGCCCCCCAAATTTCGCCCATATTATGGGGTTGTTCAGATTGATGACATTTTTAATCATACCAATTTTTTTGATAAAGTTGCTAAAAAAATGTCTATATTTAGTTTGTTGCTAAACTTTAGTAAATACATAAGAAATCCCGCCAAAATTTTTGGCAAGTTGGCTTTGGTAAGGTTTATTTTAGCTATAATTTGAACCACCCTTATAATTTTCGTAAGGTAGTAGCAGTTTATGCAACTTGTAACTGGTGGTTTACTTATTATTATTAAAATTTTGCAGGTCCTGGCGTCCACTGATCATATAAATTCGTGTAAGCCGGTCAATAAGAACGACCCGTCGTACGCAGACACCTTGGCATTTTTGGAGAAAATATTGAAATCGCGTCTCAAAGAATCAGAATCCTAGTTTTTTTTTTCCTTTTAACTTCTCAAATATGGGCGGCCTATGGTATACAACACTTCGGGTGGAAACGCTGGATAGGATTTCCTTCGGCATTATGGGGGAGATTCTGTTTCTTCTGCATCAGAGATTCTCGTCTGTTTAGTTGATCTGATCTGACAATTTGGGCGGGCTGTGTTTTATGAAGCCTTAGCCCAATCATACAGTACACGAACGAATTACATCTACAAATAGAGGATAGCTGTAAATAGTTGCCCCTCTTGTAAGAAGAAAAAAGGAAATATATGTATGCTCTCTGAATGACATGTATTATTTTTCTCTCGAAATTCATAAGCATGTAACCACACACCCCGTTGATTATGAAATTTTGTGTCAATGCTCTATGATTATTAGCAAGCATTACCATTCAAGCCTGATGAATATTTTGGTTTGAAACCCAATATTGAAATGGGCTGTTGAGTTCATGGGCTTACAGTTTGTAGACTGAGTCAACTTTTAGCCCATTTACTTCCAACTAATGAACTTGGAGTGGAAGAAGAAGAAGCGACACGCCGACACCCATCTCTTCGTCTTCCTCGCCTAAAACCCTCGCCTTCCTCCTCCGCCGCTTCCCCCCTCCACGCCGACGAGCAACGGAGCAAGCGGGCAGCCCACACCACACCCAAGGTGCCCCTCCAAATTCTCCCCTAATCCTCTCCATAATTTCCCCTAATTGATACTTGCGTCAAGATTTCGTCGTAGATCCCCGTGGCCCGTGAGGGATTTCAGGATTTGGGCGAAATCTGATAATCGCGGGCCCTCGATTTTGTCTGTATTCCCCCAGGATGGTGGACGCGTGGTGGCCGCTGCTCGCCGCGGCGATCCCGGCGGTGGTGGCCGGTCAGGCCTTCCGCGTGAAGCGGCGGCGGGACGAGGAGCAGCGCCTCAAGGCGGCGCGCGGGCGCGAGAAGAGCTCCGACGAGGTGTTCGTCTGCGAGCGCGTGTGCACCTCCAAGCGGATGCTCAAGAAGGTGGGGGCCTTCTCCAAGGACCCCATCCCGGAGACCTGCGTCACCGTCTGCGGCGTCTCCGAGCTCGACGCCTGCGCCGACGCATGCGCCCGGACCGTCTGCGTCAACCAGCACCAGGTCCCCAACTGGAACGACGTCTGCCTCAAGAGGTGCCAGAGCGAGTGCCTCAAGCTCTCCTCCACCCTCATGTAGCATCCCCCACTGTAAGCCATCGTTGTTTGTACCTTGTTTTTGGTACAAACCATCAAGCTCTTCTTGTTCCTAATGCAATCCTTATTACTACCTAAGAGGAGAGCTTCAGACATCCATAGCTATCGTTTATAAATCATGAGGAATGGAATAGGTGAATGACTGCTTCCTGATTGTTTTGTGCTTCACATTTGATCTTCAACAAACAATTGTGATTGCTAGGTACCATACCATGTCTTTTGTGAGGCGTATCCGAGGTTGAGTTTTTCAGCTGGGCCGACGAATAACACCAGCCAAATTTATTTAGTATCAGAGGTTGAATCACCCCTTTTGGATGAAATGCTTATCGTGTTTAATATGTGCTTACCTGAGTGTGCTGATTCTGATATGAAATCCCGTCTACTATTTATCCGAGTAGGAAATGTAGGACGGCTCTATTGCCCATTTACCTCCAGAATTGTAGTTTTGTGCATTAGTATTGGGAGTTTCACAACTTGCTCAGGTGATTTATGTTGCACAGATGAGTTATCTACAGTTCAGACCAATTGTGACAGCTAGGTTGTAGGTATCATGTCTTTTGCGGGGGGTATCTGATGTTGAGTTTATAGCTTGGCCGGTTTTGGCCAAATTTATCATGTATCTAAGGTTCAGTTATCCCATTTGGATGAAAATTCTTATCGTGTAGGAATTGTGGTTGCCTCTGCCTGAGGGTGCTAATTCTAATATTAAATCTCTTCTGCTATCTGTCTGAGAAGGAAATGTAGGATGGCTATTACCTATTTTACCTCCAGATGTAGTTTGGTGTACTGGTATCGGGAGCTTCAGAACTTGCCGAGGTGATTTATATTGCACAATTGCAATGATTTTCAGAGTTTAGAGTTGAGAGCATTGCTTGCTGGAGTTTCTACCTAGTGCTAGCATGCGAAGTAGTGAAAGATTTGCAGTTTCTTGCTATGCTCTTATTATTAGTCAGACACAATGCTTCCTGCTTCAGTTACTTTGCTGTTTACGAGCTTCAGAAGCTTGTTTTCTGCTCCAGTTAGCTTCTTGTTTTAATGTTTAGTAACAACTCCCTCCGTCTCAAATGTACTAGGTTTGTTTATTTTGAGACGGAGGGAGTACAACCTTCCATGGCTGTCATTTATCTCTAGGAATGAGCCATGGAATGACCTATCCTGGTTGTCATGTTTTGTCCATTCCATTACCCTTTGTGCATATGATCCTCGAGAAAATTATCCTAAGGTTAACAGAGAAGGCCTTCCTTTATCTGCATTCAGATTACAAGACAGTGATGGTCTGAAATACATGTATCTTTTGCAAGGCAACAATGCCACATCTTTCCGGTCCTCCATTTCCCCTACCGTCTGCTCAGTGTGTGCACATGTTGCTATCAGCTCCCTGGGTGTGAAGCTTTAATCACCATTGTGATGATCCAGTCTGTAGCCTGAAACTCTGAATCAGGCGTCAGACAAGCATCAGGTAGACGTCAAATTCTCCTCTTGGATTAGGTTAACCAAGATAATAGGATCAAAATCGTCACTGTTGATCGGTGATCGCACACCCAGGCCACCATGGAAACGGGCACCTAACGCACTGATCGTAAAACTAAGAGGACATGGAGATGATCTTGAACAGAAAAGACGCGCGACAACTCCCGCTCTAGCTTACGCATGCATATCGTTCTGTTTCGTATAGCATATGGAGTAGCTGGTTCAGATAATAAAACTATTTAGAAATCCCCCTGAAAATGCTCCAAATGTTCAAACACTTCAAAACGCCTCTATACTTTAATTCTTTGGGTAATGCGTTTGTCATAAGCAATGCTGAACAGTCATAATCATCCAGCACAAAATACAAGATATTCGTTTTATATCTCTTACATACTCCACTGTACATAAACTTGCTGTTCTCCCCATCAAGCCATCAATCTTATATATATTTACAGAACAAATTTGCACATTAGACTGTGGCTAATCACGCTTAACATCAACACAAGCTCGAGAAAACAGCATCGTGGAAAGACAAGTGGCTAATCACATCAGTTTGCCACCCGCACGCCATAGTTTTATACTACTTCCATCCCAGAAGACTGCAGTTTTGCATTGGTTGTGTTCAACATTTACCATCTGTCTTATTTGTAAAAACTTTTATGATTAGTATTTTTATTGTTATTATATGATAAAACATGAATATTACTTTATGTGAAACTATTTTTTTAATAAGATGGGCGATCAAACTTGAACACGAAAAACCACGACTACACTTAAATTGGGGCAGAGGTAGTAGAGTTTAGAGTGATCTAATGCATTATGCATCGTTGTCTAGAGGTGACACGGGCCGACATGATGCCCATGTCCTTCCTCCAAGGAGTAGATGATGCGCTCGAACGCCTCGACGTGGTGCTCCGCCACGGCCATGAACACGTCGACGCCGCCCTTCGCCGCGCGCGACGGGACGAACACCATCAGCCCCTCCACGGGCAGGTCCGGCGGCAGGAACGCCGCCGGCGAGCCGGTGCCGAGGTCCATCTGGTGGAACCTGAACCCGAGCCAGCTATCCACCTCCAGGTCCGGGCACAACATCGTGCCCGCCGCCGCCGCCGTCGCCACGAGATCCCCGCCGCCGCCGCCGCCCGCCGCCGCCGCGCCGCCGAAGTCGACGAACGACTGGATGTACTCGCCGTCGACCCTCGCCACGGCGTCGCGGATGGCGCCCACGACGGCGCCGTAGGTGGCGCGGAGGAGCTCGCGCGCCCGCATCCTCGGGAACGCCCAGAGCACCATGTTGCCGAAGAAGTCCATGGGCACGGGCGGGTTGGCTCTGCCCCGGCAGTTCACCGCCACCCTCACCTGCGTGAACTCCTCCGGGCTCAGGTCCCTCGCCGCCGTGATCTTCTTCCACACGTGCGCGAGCAGGCACTGGAACGTGCTGCACCGGCCGCCGGCGCGGGCCTTGAGCTCGCCGACGAACTCCGCCGTGAAGTGCACGGTCAGGTCCTTGATCTTGTCCAGGGACACGGCGGCGTAGGACGACCTGCCGCCACCGGCGGCGGCGGCTTCTCCTCCGTCGAACTCGATGGAACGGTGGTCGAACGCCGGCACCGGCGGGGTGCGGGGCACGGCCGTGGCGGCGCGGTCGAGGAAAGGCGTCGGCGCGGTGAAGCCCTCCCCCTCGCGCACCGCGGTCGCCCACGCGGTGAAGAAGGCGCTCATGGAGTGGCCGTCGGCGGTGTGGTGGTGGCAGATGCTGCCGACGACGAGGCCGCCGCACCTGTACCGGACGAGCTTCACCTGCAGCAGCGCGGCGCCGACGTTGTCCTCCGGCAACGCGGGGTAGAGGTCGGCGACGTCGGTGGCCATGGCGCGGCCGCTGTTGGCGAGCACGTCGTCTAGGTCGGCGCCGTCGACGGTGGCCTCGACGACGAGCACGCCCTGGTCGTTCACGTGGAGGAAGCGGCGGCCGTGGTGGTCGACGGCGAGGCGGCCGGCGAGGTGAGGGTACGCCGCGACGGCCCTGAGGAGGCCCTCCTTGATCGCCTCGTTCGACGGCGCCGGCGCCCGGTACGCGAGCACGCTGGGTACGTACAGGTCGAACGCCGCCCGGTCGAACACGGTGAGCTGGACCTCCGCGCCGGCGAGCGGGTGCGGCGTGCCGTACACCGGCGCCAGCATCGCCGTGCTTGTAATCTTCATCTTAATTACACCTCGTCACCTCGTCTTAATTACTTTGGAGTGGCATGCATACAACCGCTTATATAGAGCTCCGAACTATATGTAGAACAGTGTGTGATCAACCACCCCCAGTACATTTATTTTGGGCTATTTATTTGTACACGTCAAGACCAAAACGAGAGTAGGTATCAACCACTCCGCTTATAAAAATGACTAAATTCAAATCAATTTGGGAAATAATTCCATGTTCTAAATGGGGAAAGTATTCTAAACTCTTGAGAAGACACCAATTCTTGTTTGCATGCCACTCAAATAGTTATGCAAAAATTTGAAAAAAAGATCAACATGATAGTTTAATATGTGCTTGATCATTACACAAGCATGCAAAAATAAAATTTAACTTCAACATGTTGCAACGAAAAATACACTAAAATTCAAATCGGTTTAGGAAATAATTCCATGTTCCAAATGGGTTTAGAGAAGAGGAGAACAGAAAAAAAGGAAAAAGTACACCGAAGGTCCCTCAACTTCTCATCGAGTTACAAAATCGTCCCTTAACCGCAAAACCAGATATATCACATCTTTCAACTTACAAAACCGTTCACTTTACATCCTTTTGTGGTTTTGATCCCGGTTTTATCTAACGTGGCGGATGAGTCAGCGTGAGACCCACGTGTCAGGTACCACGTCATCACTCTTTCTCTTTCCCCTCTTCTATCCCTTCCTTCTCTCTCTAATTTCTCCTTCGTCTGGGCAAGCCGGCGGGCGGGGCGAGGTGGGAGAAGAGGTCGGGCGGCCGGCGACCGGCGACGGGCGATGCGGCAGCGGCGGCCGCGGCGGCGGTGGCGATGACGACGACGTGGGAATAGGAGGGCCGCCCCCTATGCCGCCAGCCTCCGTCGCCTCTCCACCAGCTCCCATGGATGATGACGGCGGCCTCCTCGCTCTCCCCGTTGCGCTCCCCATCGGCTCCTCATCCTTCGTGCTCCGTGAGGACGGCGTCTCGCGCGCCGCTGACGAGGCTGCCGCCCCGCGCTGCTTGCCGCTGCTGTTCGATCTGAACCTGCCGGCCTCGTCCCCGTCGGCTGCTGCCGCCGCCGAAGTCGACGAGATGGATTGGTGTTGCGACACGCTGCTCCACCTCTAGCCTGCACATCACCAAACAATGGCAGCAATCGCCGGCGAACTCTAGCCTACGACGACGACGACGACGACCAACCAGCAAGCAACAAGAATTGGAAATTTGTTACTGGGTTGCTGCGCTCCAATCCAACCATCACCATTGTTGCTGCTGCTACTGCGAAGAAGCTCTACCATCTCCTCCATAGACACGGATAATTTTCTTTTTATTTTCGTTTTCCTCCATCTCTTTTTCACCACTCAAGATTTCGTTTCCGCCGCCTCTCTTGTGCATCTCTGTATCCAAAGGGGATGCTGCTGCTTTCAGCTGTACCAATAGCTAGAAAATGGTAGAGAAGATGATAAAATTTGGTTCAAAATTTGTAACGTAAATGTTATCGGAAGACGACGGGGACGAGGCGGGCAGGTTCAGATCGAGTAGCAGCGGCGAGCAGCGCGGGGCGGCGGCCTCGTCGGCGGCGCCCGAGACGCCGTCCTCGCAGAGCACGGAGGAAGAAGAGCCGACGGGAGGCGCAACGGGGAGAGCGAGGAGACCGCCGTCGTCATCCATGGCAGCTGGTGGAGTGGCGACGGAGGCCGGCGGCGTGGGGGCGGCCCTCCTGCTCCCACGTCGTCGCCGCCGCCGCCACGTCGCCCGTCGAGGTCAGCTCAGCCACGAGAGAGAGAACGAACAGAGGGGCGGGCGTCGATTGCTCACAGTGTATCAGAAGCGTGCGCGCGGAGGATACGGTGAGGAGGTCGACGAGCGACGACCGGAAGTCGAACACCCGCGCCTGCACGACGATGGCCTCCACGAATGACGCGTCCCCTGCGCGCGACGACGGCCTCCACGGTCGCGCCCACACCCTCTCCCCTCCTCCATGCTTCTACGTCATCGTCAGCGCCACCGGCAGCAGTAGCCTCTTCTCCGCCGGAAGCGGTGGTGGTGGTCAATCACCGAAGCAAGTTAGCTAGAGTCGATCGGCTCGGTATTTGATTTGGCTTCGATTGCTTCGCCGCGTCGAGGCCGACGGATGAGGGGGACGGCCGCCGCGGCCATCCGCGCGACGGCATCCATCGGCGGAGCCGCCCGTCGCATCGGCCCTCCTCTCTGCCGCGCTCCTTCCCCGCCAGCCGCCGGCCACGCCGGCTCTCCTCCCCGCCGCGTCGAAGACGCCGCCACCATCCACGCCCAGGGAAAAATGAGAGAGGAAGGGAGAGAAGAGGGAAAGAGAGAGCGGTGACATGGACACTCTGACACGTGGGGCCTAGGTGGGTCCCACGCTGACTCAGCTGCCACATGAGACGAAACCGGGGTCAAAACCACCTAATACCTTGAGGTTTTGTAAGTTGAGGGATGTGATATATCTGGTTTTGCGGTTGAAGAATGATTCGGTAACTCGATAACAAGTTGAGGAACCTTCGGTGTACTTTTCCCAAGAAAAAAAAGAAGATGAAGGCCCGATTCAAATACGGCCCAATATAAGCAGCCCAATGTTCAAACTGGGCTGTACGATCAGCGCTCGTCGGCCCAGATCTAGGCGGAGGGGGAACGTGCGGGGGGCCCACAGGCCGAAGCAGCGTCTTCTCCACAAGCTCAGGCTCGCCTCGCCACGCCATGGCCTTGTCCTCCTCTTCGCACCTCCTCCCCTTCTCCCGGCCTCCCGCGACCTTCCCACGAGCACGCCACGCCGGCGGCGGGAGGGGCCGAGCCGGCGCCACGGGGAGGTTCATAGCGTGCTCCTCGCCCCCTCCTCCCGACGTCGTGGTCACCCGCGAGCGCGGGAAGAACGCCAAGCTCATCGCCGCGCTGGTTTGGTTCCCAAATCGACACTCCTGCATTGTTCACTTGTACCTAACGCATAGTTTTTTTTTGGGTGGGGGGTGAGGGGAAGCGTAGGGGATTAGGGGATTAGCAATAGAGATGGAGAATACGCATCTTCCATTTTTGTTTTGTGATACCCTGTGAGATCGTCGCGTATTTTAGTGTTGTGATTTTAGGTGGCCTGGCCGACTGTATAGAGGGAAATTTACGGGCTAATTATACTGTTTAGGACCCGGGAGGCTCACTAATTGGTGCGAGATTTCAGTTAATGTACTGATTTCCATCTAGGAAAAGGTTGGCGTGTGCTGGATATGAGATATTTGGTGCTAACTCGTTGAACATGGTGCCGCGTGCTAATGGAACTCACCATTCATGTCTTCAACTGGTCGGAGCTTGGAGTTTAGAGTTAGTTGTTTTGCAATACAGTTCAGTTTTATCTGATTACAAATGCAATGCAATGCTATGTTATGGAAACCATTTGTCATTTTGTTAGTATCAGTCTTTCATGTAAGAACATATCCCTTCTTTCATCCATTTCATATGATACAAGTTGGGCATATGATCTGCATTGCCTATTTTATTCCATTAGCTTAGAGAAGTTTTGTGGATGGTATGACTTCCTCTCTTTTTTTTTATGATCATTGACCTAATAACTTTAATCTACTATTAGTTTATTATCTTGGATCACAGTATATGAGATCTTTACCTTTATTCTCAGCTGTTGTTTAGCGTCTCATGAATCACGATACATCATTAATACGGAGTGTGAAGTCTGAATTTTTCTGATCATATCTAGCCATATTCTAACTGCTATACGTATTCAACTGGGCCATAGATGGTTGTTACTCCAATGGATTTGAGAACATTCCTACATTGTAATACTTGTGAAAAGGTCCAATTGACATTAGAGTAATGCAATTGTTACCGCGTGCCTTGTCGAACAGTGTGCTAGGTTACTAGACTTGATTGATCTCTGAAGGGCCCTTGGAGGGAGTCTAATGATTTTACTCAATGTTCTGATAAAATTAGAGTCTTTGCCTGTTGATTGTGTAATGGAAGTAATCTTTTGTGTGTTGGGTGGTGGGGTCTTCATCCATCTTAAAATGTTGTAAGCATGCAGAGTACATGTTAAAGTAATCATGAATGTGCTGCTGCAGCCACCTATTATTTTCTCAGAAGAAGATTCAATTTGTGTTCAGAAATAAGCAGTCCTTTTGTATCATCCAGCTTATTGCTATCTAGTTTTCACATCAGTTTTCTAATTGAATTTTGTAGGAAAAACATAATGTACAAAGTCTTGAGCTTCCTCTTATTAAACATGTTGAAGGGCCAGATACAGATAGGCTTTCTGCTGTCCTGCGCGGTAAGTAGTTCAGTCTTTATTTTTCTAGTAATATAACTTTATGTGTTTCTGTCTTGCGTTGTATATCCATTGCTCCACATATAGTATATTCTCATTACACTTGCTTTGCAAAATCATAATAAAAGTATTCCATAGTTTAGTCACTTAATATTTTGTATTTTCAGATGAAAAGTTTGACTGGATCACTATAACATCTCCTGAGGCAGCTGCTGTGTTCCTTGAGGGATGGAAGTAAGATTCAAACATATTTCAATTATCGTGCGCAATTGCTACAGAAATATAAATTGTGCATCATTTCACACTTCATTCGTCCTAAGTTCTGGGCTTTGTGGCATAGGTTTGTGCACTCTGTGATTTGCTTGTTGTCTAACCCAATATATGATATGTTCTTCAATCAATCCATTATTCTGTGATGCACCAGAACAATCCAAAACCACCATATTAACACAAGTTACATAACGACCTATCAGGGCTGCTGGAAATCCTAAGGTACGAATAGCGGTTGTTGGAGCAGGTACTGAAAGAGTTTTTGACGAAGTAATTCAATACAATGATGGATCCCTTGAGGTTGCATTTTCTCCTTCTAAAGGTATCTTGCCTCATAGGATGTAATTTTCATTGCATGTCAACTAATTCGTATGGTGCTCTCATATATTGAAGACTTGGAACTGTTTTCAGTCAGTAAGGTATTTCTTTTTCATTTTTTTTATTTCATCAGCTATGGGTAAATTTTTGGCCTCAGAGCTTCCAAGGACCACTGAAACTACTTGTAAAGTGTTATATCCTGCATCTGCAAAGGCTGGCCATGAAATCCGTGAGTCAGATTTGGTTTTATCCTTCTGGTTACATGCTTGCACCTGCATTTCCACAATGACCACATCTGCATCATATCTTCAGCTGTTATGTTAACTAATTATGCGGATTGCAGAGAATGGGCTATCAAATCGAGGATTTGAGGTGACAAGACTGAACACATATACAACTGTATGTTTTTCTTTTAAATTAAATTATTACATTTGCCTTATTAATTCTTATTTGCTTACTTTATATGAGTAATGTGAAATTTTGGCCCCTTGTCTTGTGCACTTTGGACCTCGTTCTATTTATCTGCATTCAGACATCCCTTACCTGATAGTATCATATTTTAGCTTGATATGGTTGACTGTGACATATGTTACCGTAGTAGAGGTTTTGTATTTCAAGAAACAGTAGTAATTTTCATGGATTACATTTTATCTTTTCAAAGTTTGTGTGCACGTGAATCTTGGATTTTTGTTTTGACCTATGAAATGGTTGTATATACATGCAGGTATCTGTACAGGATGTCGATCCGCTAATATTAAAGCCTGCTCTTTCAGCTCCAGTTGTTGCAGTAGCTTCTCCTTCTGCTCTCCGGTAATATATAATGTGTCTATGGCTGCCTCGGAACAAATTTAAAACCGTGTTCATATAATAATAATGGTATGCTAGTACTCCCTAATTAGATGGTTCAGGTAAAGTACGTATGTGGGAGAGATCACAAATTCTGCATTGAAACATTTTTTTTTTGGAATACGCAAGAGATTTGTGTACCATTTCATTAACACGGGGCTTTGACAAGGTTGGGGCTGATTTCTATTTGGACGTGTTTCTTTATGATCCATAAAGGGGTATACCGATTCAAAGGCACACAAACAGCTTTATTTGCCATCTCAGTTATTTGCAAAGCTAGATTATTTGCGAACTGTCTCCCTGGGCTGACTTTATGTTACATATTACCATCACAATTTTCCTTTTCCACAGTGCTTACTTTATTCAGTTTTGGGGTTATCATGATGATGCAGAGCTTGGCTAAATCTTGCTTCACAAGTTGACAACTGGGGCAACGCCATTGCCTGCATAGGCGAGACGACTGCCTCAGCAGCTAAGAAATTTGGCCTGAAGAGCATATATTATCCTACCACCCCGGGACTTGACGGGTAAGCACACATCACGAACCTTTTGAATACCATTATCCAATTGTCAAGGACACGTCTGAATGGTGGACATTCAGAACTGGTATCAACACAGCGTCACATCATATGTTGTGAAGCAAAATTGACTACTGTATCATCCATATGCACAATTTTCATATTGTTTTTCACAGGTGGGTTGAAAGCATCCTTGAAGCGCTCAGAGCCCATGGGCAATCGAAAGAGGTCCTCTCTCGTCCTCGTGGATACTTTCCTTGAATTTCTCAGCTTCTTTCGTCACACTTTTTTCTGTTTCTACTGTAGGCCCCAGGGTGTTGAACTTGAAGACGGGCAATTTACTTGTACCAGATGCTGGAGGTTGGTGGACATTTGTGGCGGCTGCATATTGAACTCTGTGCTTCCTTGACTAACCGATCACACACTTTTTGTTGTTTTTCTAATATAATTGAGAGGAGAAACCAAGTCGGCAACTACTGTAGTAGAACTACTTGTAAATTGTGAGCTGTTTATTGTAGCTACTGAACACGGTGCGGTATATTACCAGTGTTGTACCAATTGTTGCTTAGTTTATACCAGTTTGGCACAAAAAATGAGCCCTCCTCCAAAAATATGGAAATCAATGAATGCAAGAGGCTCTTGTACTGGGCTTTACTAAACCGCAGGTGTTTCTCAGGTCAGAAGGCCCAAAGCTGCACTAGGCCATTATTAAGGCCCTGTTTAGTTCGCGAAAAAAAAAATTTTGGGTGTCATATCGGATGTTTGACTGAATGTTGGAAGGGGCTTTCGGATACGAATGAAAAAACTAATTTCATAGCTTGCCTGGAAACCGCGAGACGACTCTTTTGAGCTTAATTAAGCCATCATTAGCATATGCAGGTTACTGTAGCACTTATGGCTAATCATGGATTAATTAGGCTGAAAAGATTCATCTCGCGATTTCCATGCAAAGTGTGCAATTATTTTTTATTTTTATCTATATTTAATGCTTTATGCACGTGTCAAAGATTTAGAAAGTAAACCAGGCCTAATATCAATATATGTCTTCTCATAAATGTGCATAGATTTATCAGTCAACCTGAGCCGTCCTTGTCCTCACTCCGAGAGAGCATGCAACGCTTCGCAGCCGCATCATAATTGTGGCCTTCTTTTTTTTTTTTTTGACACGGTCAGTGCCGTCTACTGCAGAATCTCCAGTTAAGTTGCCGCGGTGATCCGAATGAACTGAAATTGATTGCCACGACGACTTGGCAATGCCACGGAATCTCCGTCCTCTTCACCTCCACCAAACCTCTTAAGAGATTCCAGCGTTTGTGTCCACCACGCAAGAATCTTCTTCCTCTCGGAGACATGACTGACTGCCCACGGACAAGTGCACTAATGATCAATCAAATTATGAAATGAATGAATGATACTCTCCTTCGATTGCGTTAATATCTCGCTAATCTCCGTGGCTGTCAGCATCCTAAACACTGCAAAAACAGAACGTAACAAAGGTCGACATGGACAATTTCTTTTAGTTTCTTTTGTTACTCGGTTAGCACTTACGTACGGTTAGTCGTCCACCCCCTCCTGGACGGAAACACGTCCATGTCCAGCTAACGTCGACGTCTCTATTGCAGATTTGTAGGTCTAACCCTCCTGCTTAACTAACCAAGCGCCGTAACGAAAACCGGCGAGCTTCTTCCTCCACCGCCGCCGGCCTCTGCACCGGCGGCGACGAGCCGGAGAGAGCCAGCGTCTCTCATAAAAGGAGATTAAAAGTTACTACCTCCGTTTTAAATTATAAGACTTTTTAACATTGCTCACATTCATATAAATGTTAATAAATATCTGGATTCATTGACATATATAAATGCTAGAAAGTTTTATAATATAAAACGGAGGAAGTACTATATAAGACAACGATAGTAGCAGCTTTAGGTTCGCGAATATTTATATCAAAATCTATGGAGAATTTGGCTTCTCTAGCTATCCTGTTGGATAGATTCGAGGCCGACTTCACCTCACAAGAGAAGGAATTAATCAACTAGACAGGAATTAATTATTAAAGATGGAGTTGTTTAACCAGCAACACTGTGTCAACTCCCTGTACAATTAAGTACTAATCAGTAATCACCTGTACTAGTTGTTACTGATTACAGTATTACTAGCTACGTGGCACATACTGTCACTGAGATGCTGGGAGCCTGACAAAAAAAACAGAGCAATCGCTGAAAAAAAAACAATCTCCAGTGCATCGTTTTTGTCTGTAATATCCTAGTGGTAACTTGGCAAGAGTGATCAGTGAGTGAGTAGATTCTCCTTATCGCCTCGTAGCTCACGGTGGTTGGAGCGTTCAGATCAACGTCAACTGTCTGTTTCTCTGAATTTGTTGGAGTAAACCGGAGATATATATATCCCCTCCTAAACCTAAATGTGGTCGTTGCGAATGAAAGGATTATTAGCATAGGATGAGTTGTTGGAGAAAGACTGCATTGGAATCAAAAGCCAAAGTACAGCAGTTGTGCCCTCCATTTCTTCGCAATACTGCAGTGTAGGACAGAAACGGAGTTCTTTTTTTTTTCTTTTTGAAAGTTCAGTTTCATCAAGTGATTACTTAAGTAGTAGTACTAGCATACTGTATATATTAGGTTTTATTGAGTGGGATTAATTTGATTTGACAGTGTGACAGCTAAAAGTACGTATCCCTCCGTCCCAAAAAAAAAAATCAATCCCAAAATACGTGTCCAGATTTATAGCTAGAGTTTACCTTTTTTTAATAGAGTAGTACTCCCTCCATCCCAAAATGTTTGACGCCGTTGACTTTTTTAAAAATGTTTGATCGTTCGTCTTATTAAAAAAACTTAAGTAATTATTAATTCTTTTTCTATCATTTGATTTATTGTTAAATATACTTTTATGTATACATATAGTTTTACACATTTCACAAAAGTTTTTGAATAAAACGAACGGTCAAACATATTTAAAAAAGTCAACGGTGTCAAACATTTAGGGAAGGAGGGAGTAGTATATTGTACAATAAGAGTCATCTCAAAATTAGACGGATACATTATATATAAATTTTGAAATATATATACAAGTGTTGTGAAAATATAATGTTATCTAAAAATAAAAATTGAATACTAATATTAAAGAGTGTGTAATTTCATTGCCAAATTTTTAAATGGACAGATTTTAAAACTAAAGGACAGCAAATTTTCTCGGCCGACAAACACCGGACACTAAAAAGGGGAGGGAGTACGATGGACATGGACATCTGAGAACCGGAAAGATCATATTTACTCTCATTTGTTCAAATTTGTCATGAACAGTAGGTTGGCCGTGCTACTGAAATAATTGATTCGGCCATGATTTCGCAATCAATCTTGAACGGCAGCCAGGAGCTAAGCCATGAGAGTTGAGACCCACTGACTACTGTAGCTTAAAGCTACTCCCTCCGTCCAAAAAAAAGACTCAATTCCTGGGTTTTCGTGTCCTACGTTTGACTGTCCGTCTTATATGAATTTTTTTCATGATTAGTATTTTTATTGTTGTTAGATGATAAAACATGAATAATACTTTATGTGTGATTTATCTTTTTAAATTTTTTTATTTTTTTTAAATAAGACGGACGATTAAACGTTAGACACGGAAACTCAAGAATTGAGTTATTTTGGGACGGAGGGAGTAGTAAGCTACTGCTCTTCTGCCAATCAAAATGGCACACATTTATGCAGGCAGGCAAAGTATCCATCCATCCGAGGACCACAGGGGAAACATTGGAAATGTTTCGAAGGACAGGAAAGATTGCTACGGATATCACTAGCAGATGAATGAGAGATGGAGGGGAAATATTTGGTAGCGAGCATGTTCTTGGTTTATCGCTTCACTGCGCAATAAGTTTGGTATCGTTTGGAACGCATGAATTTCATAGGGATTATCCTGAAAACGTCGTCACTTGAAAGTGGCTATGATTGAGACATTTTTATAAAAATTATGTGTTCTAAATTAGTAGCAGTTGTGCGAGTGAGTGATTTATGACTGATCGGATATACTCCCTGAATTTCATAATTAAAGATGTTTTGTTTTTGTTTTCATCATTTGTTTAAGTCTAATTAAGCTTATTACAAAATATAGTAGGGATGTGCTTCTATGCTCTGCAAAAAAAAAAATTGCACGAAAGTTAAAGCTAATCAGCGGCTATGATTAAAAGGGAGATTAGCACTTAATTATCATTAGCGAGGGGTAATTTCGTCCAAAGATTTTTGAGCCCATATCCAGCCCAGTCCATCTGAAGCGATCCCCACATTCTACCAGTCCACCACGGCACCGCTCCTCAACCGCACCGCCGCGCCGATTTTCGCCTTGCCGTCGTTGCTCTGCCCTCTTCTTCAGTTAAAAGGATACCCGAGCAGGTATGGCCTGAGTGACAGTAAATTCAGTTTCAGCCTTAACTTGTCTCCTCAAAGATTTGCCTTCAAGTTACAGAACAGAGTCAATGCCTTATTGCTGCAACCCGACTTGCAAATTTGGTTGTACATATACACATCTGGCACAAGCTTCATATTTACAAGTACCATAAAAACCTCATATGCAGTCTAAGCGCTGCCACTTTTCAATAGAATCGAGAGAATGGCATTCGTAATAGGTGACGATGGTTGGGCAGCGCAGCCGACGCGCGGGTTGTGGAGGAGTGATGGCAGCGCCGACGGTGGCGGAGGGAGGCAGGAAGCGGCGTGGGGAGGGAACCGGGCGGCAAGGCGGCGTTGCGAGGGGAAGAAGAAGGCAGAGCAGCGGCGGCAAGGCGAAAATCGGCGCGGCGGTGCGGTTGAGGAGCGGCGCCGTGATAGACTGGTAGGGGTGGGGATCGGACTGGGCTGGATATGGGCTCGAAAATCTTTGGACGAAATTACTCCTCGCTAATGATAATTAAGTGCTAATCTCCCTTTTAATCACAGCCACTGATTAGCTTTAACTTTCGTGCAAGTTTTTTTTTGCGGAGCAACAAATTAATTTCATTAAAACCATAACTGAATTTTTAGAGCATACTATTTGTTTAGTGTTAAATTTTTGTCTATTTTTTCTATAAATTTAATCAAACCTTTAAAAGAAGTTTAACTTAAGTTAAAATCAAAACATTATATATCTATACTCCTTTTAAAGAAGACAATGATGGTGACGGTGAATCTGTCCCCACCAACTGTTGTATGGAGTTTTTTTTAACCAACTACCCCTTCATGGTTTTTACCATCTACTACTTCATGTGCTCTAATATTACAAAATTTCTTTTATATATAATTCTATCTATTTCATTCCTGTAATACAAGGTTATGATACAAAGACATCAGCAAGGACAAAATTATTAAAAAACATCACAATTAATTTGTTCTAAACAATATTAACGCAGAGATAATTTATTTTTAATCCCTAGCAAAGCATGGGTATTTAGCTAGTATTCAAAAATAGAGGGAGTATGTGGGAAATGTGGCACATGCCGACATGCGGTACAATCCAATGATATGATTGATAAAACTAAATTGCAATTGCTATAGGATGAACATGCATATCTCTTGCACAAATACGTCGCTACAAATTCTTAGTAGCATGTGCTTATAACTATCCTATAACC